CCCAGGATCCATGCGTAACTGGAAAAAAACACTAATAAAAACATATCCTCCACCCCAGGAGAGCACCTCTAGGGATTGGTAGGTCCTTCTGTACATCACTATGGTCAACTTTCAGCAGAACCATAGAGTTGTGTTAGAGGACCTAGAGATTCCTAGGGAGATGTTCAAGATTCATATTAATAGAAGTCATGAATAATGACCTCCTCAAACATTAAACTTGCAAATGTAGATGGCTCAACGTACTTTTAAAAAGGTATTTCATAAAGGGATCTTTAGTTAACTTTTCAGAGAACAGTTATCTAAAGGCCCCTTCTGAATGTAGTCTCATGGCTACATTTATTTACTATTTATTAAAATTCTTATACCCCTCTTTCTATGGAAGATCTCAGGATGACATATAGTAATACCAATCTCAGGATGACATATAAAAATACCAATCTAACAAATAGACCTACGGTGGTGCAATGGGTTGAACCCTTGTGCCAGCTGAATTGCTGACTTCAAGGTTGATTATTCAAATCTGCGAGACAGGGTGAGCACCTGTCTGTCAGCTCCTGCTTCCCATGTGGGGACATGAGAGAAGTCTCCCACAGGATGGTAAAACATCTGGGCATTTCCTAGGCAACGTCTCTACAGACAGAAAAGTCTCTCACACCAAAAACAGTCTTTCAAGTAGCTTTTGACACACAAAAAATCTAACATACTTAAAGTAGCTTGAATGATTAACTTTGGAAGACAAAATACTATTAAAAATTAAGAAATTAAAAGACAGATTAAAGAGGTTACAATAGTTTAAAACAAAAGTTTTTTTGTAAACGATATAATGTAAGCGCACAAGACACAATCCAGGCCAGGAATACTGTGTGCTGTTAGTGAAAGTGTAAACCTTCCCCCTGACTCTCTAAATCTACCTGACATACATACTTGGAGACCTAAAATTATTTATTATTTATCCCTGGTTCTTTGTATAAAATAATACACAGGAAATTGAGTTACGAGATAAGCAAGGTTGCCTGAAGAGTAGTAAACAATGTCTCTCAATTTTAAACAATTGCCATCTATTCAAGTAGTTTGTTTTGTTTAGCAAACAAAATACTACTTGGAGAAACATTGTTCACACAAATCATCTGCAATTATTCTTTCCTTTGCAAACAAGGGTGATTGACAGCAACCACATATTCTTTCCTTTGCAAACAAGGGTGATTGACAGCAACCACATAGGGTTTGGAGAAAATGACATGAAAAGGAAGAGCAAGGACCTGAAGCAAAGGCAAAGGCTCCACTACCCTTCCTTGCCTAAACTGGAGGAAGAAGCCTTTTCTTCTGCCCTTTCTGCTTTCATGCCTTGCCACCCCGAGAGGAGCTTCTTCATGCTTAGTCCCTATTCCAGTATTGACCTGTGTATACATTAACTTATTTTTGCTGCAGTAGATTTTTTGGCTATTTTTTCTACCTTAGACATGAATGTATATGGCGCATGCAAATTTTATTATTGCTTCTATTATTTACAGCATTTATATATCACTTCATGTAATATAATGTCCAAGTGCAGTACTGCTCTGATACAATATAAAATAGCATAATGCTATTAAAACATTTTAAAACAATAAATAATTAATAGTTTTACAACAATAACACAGGAAAAAGGAATACTTACCATTAAATGAAGAAAGCCAGCATAAACAGGTATGTTTTGAGTAGGTATTTCAAACTGAATATTGTACCCATCTCTAGACCTTTTGGGAATGGGTGTTCCAGAAGGAATATGCAACTAATCAAGGTGTGCTTTCACTGTTGCATAAATAGGTGCCATGGATCATGAGACAACCAAATAAAGCCCCTGTTGAGCATCTTGGGTCAAAACGGTGCATATAAGAGCAGGCGGTTTGTTAAGTATTTTGTCTTTGAAGTCCTGGGGACTTTTCATGTTCACACCAATACTTTGAACTAATTGGTAGCTAGCAGTGCATGAATAGAGAAAAACTATTCCTGCACCCTGGAAAAATTGTAGTGCATTAACTGAAGCTCTTAGTGGACACTCAAGGTACATTTTCCCACCAGTAATATAGGAAAATGTCAAGGTTTTCCCTTCACATTAAGTGTAGTCTTTTCTGACTCTGATGCTCATCTCTATTTCAAAGTCTATAAAGTCTATAAACACCATCTAGGTCATGTGGCCAGCATGATTGCATGGAGGGCTATTACCTTCCCGCTGAAGCGGTACCTATTGATCTACTCATATTTGCATGTTTTCAAACTGCTAGTTTGGCAGAAGCTGGGGCTAATGACAGGAGCTCATCCCATTCGTGGATTCGATCCGCTGACCTTCCAATCAGCAAGTTCTGCATCTCAGCAGTTTAACCTGTTGCGCCACCATGGCCCAGTAATATAGACCAGAGGCTTTTTGTCCACTCTGCTCCTGTAGAATTCTGGGAAATGTAATTTAGGGAAGCCAAGGACCTCTCTAGCTGAGAATTCCAAAGTCTGCAACCTGACTACATTTCCCAGAATTCTACAGGAGCAACTTGGATGACTGGCAGATGATAGCCCCATTCTGTGATGGGAAAACATCCAAGATTGTCTAAGGTCATTTGGAAATCCAGTGATAGAGGCAGATTCAGGAGAAACTCCTCCAAAAATAGATGCATATACTTTTGAAGGAGTAAAACCCCATCTAAAACAGATAAGCACAACAATTCTAGGACTTGGGAACTATCTTTATAAGTTTGTGCTTTTAGTTTAACCCTCAGCATCCAGCTCAGAGCTGTATCTTGGCATGGATGTAGAGCATGAACAGTCTGCTATCTGCATAGTGCATCATCTTTGCCTGTATCCTCTAATAACCACTTCTAACAGCTTCTTTTACATTTTACAAAACTGTGAGAACAAGATAATTCTCTGTGTGTGAGCCTTCAAGTAATTTCTGACTTAGAGTAATGCTACAGCAACCCTATCATGAAATTTCCTTGGCAAGATTTATTCTGCATGGGATTGCCATTGCTTTTCCTCTGAGGTTGAGGGTCATCAACTTGCCAAGTTCACCTAGTGGGGTTCCTTGGCCAAGCAAGGATTTGAACACTCATCTTCTAGGCTGTAGTACAAACTCAAACCACTGCACAATGCATAATTCCCTGTATTATCCCATAGGTCCAGGGGACAGGGAGTGAGGAAGTGAGGCCTCAAAAGTGTGGTGGGATGAGAAAGGAAGGAAATAAAAGGGTGTGTGGAACATTTTAGGCAGAGACAAATGGTGGTTTCCATATCAGTGGGTTATTGATGCAGCTTTTTGTCTGAACTATAAAGAGCTAGCCAAGGTGTTGAACCTATTATAGGAATACACATCAGTACCTTGGATAGCTCTTTTAAAGTCTGGAATAAAAAAAAACATTACCGTCCAACCATTATGGACACTGCTTGTGACTAGATTTTTCCATTAACCCAGGTAAAATTGTATCGTGGTTTCCCCTTGTCTTTCCTGTATTCCATTATGTTTGGCCACAATGATAAAATCCTCCCCCTGCTCCTCTATTGAATCTGGAAGTAACTTTAAATTTACAATTATTTACCTAAAGTAAAGACTATTGTAATATTAAGAATGAGATTCTATTTATGATTTGGATTCATAAGACATCTAACACCCTTTTTCGATTTTAAGTGCATCCAAAACTAATTTTAATTTAATAGAAGTTCTGGTGATTAGTAGAAATTCAGAAGCATAGACATTTGGGGGAATTAAAAGCAGAGGTGTGAAATATTAATGTATTTTTTAAAAAAAGCTATACTTAGCTAAGATAAATGCTAGATCATTCGGCAGTGCTGACAGTACTAACTATAGGTAAAAAAAATTACTGCCACATTGAAACAAGTGTAAGCAATATAGTTTTTCCAATAGTTTTATAATCTCCCCTGAGCTTCTAGTGTGCATGGCCATTTATGGAGTAAAAGAGGACAGATTCTTTTCTTTTTCTTCTTTTTGAAGTTACTTAGCATTGGATCAAAGTGCAACCAAACCAAAGCGTGGCAACCTGAGTCATATGCTGCGCTTAGAGAGTGAAGTCATGCTTCCTGTCTAATGTTGAGATCATTCCACTTCCTTATTGCAATCCTCTGACTAATGCTACTGATATAGTGTCCATTATTAAAATGATTTTACTGAAAACATAAAATACATTTTTTCGGTTACTATTAAGGATAAACCTGGCACCTGCTTTTTTATTATTTTGAAAAAGGAAATAAATGCACCTGTGGAGAAACAAGGTTTATCCAAAGAGTGCTTTTTGGGATTCCTTTTTTCTGCTCCAAAAAAAGAAACCTGGCTCCTGAAATGCTTTTTCCAAAGTATTTGGCATGTGTTGAGCATCGTTTGTACATGTAACATCCCCACTAAATCCATTTCTATTCAAGGATGCACAATGTGGAAAAGTCAAAAGGATGTGTGTATACTTCTGCATGGCACTTTTTTGCATTTCCTTTTCCCTTAAAGATAATGCTTTTATCTCATGGATACCTTGAATGGCACATAAACACTCTGGTCAGGATTTGTGTGTGTGTGTGTGTGTGTGAGTAATCACAGGAGGACCTTACATATGCACAAAGAACTTTGCTTCACATCAAATGGTGGCCAAAAGGGTCCCCTCATTACTACTCCATCAATTTTTTTGGATGACTTTCATATCCCAGGATTCATGTTCTAGTTCTAACATGAAGAAGCAGACCAAAAGTACAAGTAACTTCGTTTTTTTATTGGTTGAACTGACAATGGAATATATGATGCAACCTCATGGAAAGTTATTATAATATGAAATTTCTGACTGTAATATATGCCGTCAGGTTACACATATCTTCATTGCTTGATGTTTGTGATCAAAGGCTTGTGGAATCACATATCTGACATTCTGAAGAGTTTGAGAATTCAGACAACATTTTACTCTATCAATTCTCTGAATCTTCATCTTTCTTCTTCCTTGTACAAGCTGATTGTTATCATTCTCTTTTAATAGGTGCCTGAGATTATAAGCACCATCAGACAAGCTGGGAAGATTGCACGTCAAGAAGACTTTCAGAATAACCTTTCAGATGTTGAAGATCCTTTCAGCAAAAAGTTTGAAGTGCTGTTCTGCGGCCGAGTAACAGTAGCACACAAAAATGCACCCCCAGCACTCATAGATGAATGTATTGAAAAATTTAATGATGTTAGTGACACCAAAAATGTGGACTCGGATTCATTTTCCCAACAACATGAAACTAGTGCCAACCACTCTGGAGGATTTTCCATAAGTGATAAATTCCGATCTGTCTTCCAACCCTTGGTTAATGAAGAACAGGAGAAGAGGCCAATGAGGAAATCCTACTCTCAGCCTGGATTGCGTTCTCTTGCTTTCAAAAAAGATTTGCAGGCTGCAAACCCAAGGAGTCACAGCTTTGTCAGATCCTTTGATGATGATGTTGCACTGAACTTAAAAAGTCAATTTATCAAAGGGCAAAATGTGCAGCCTACAGATATTGCGGGGAACCGGATTATGTTGTTCACGGTAAAACAATTGTTTTTGCTAGCAGTTTTCAACACTACCTGCAGATGTATAGAAATGCATATCTAAAATGTCTGGGTTTCACTACCAGCTAAACTATTGCAACTAATTAACATAAGTGTATGCTGGCCACATTTAGACAATCATACTTTTGGTCATTTGTATAGAACCTTTTCTTATTCATTTTGTACAACTGAATGAATTAGGAAGTCTGCTCTTAATTGTCTCTCTTTTACCTATTTCTTCCATTGTAAGACATATCCACATTTCAGCCGCCACCACCAACAAAAATACATAAGATACACCTGCGATTTTAAGATGGATTCCATTTTTAAAGATGTTTATATAGGAAAAAGTGTGTCTTAGAATTGTAGAAATGCAATATTTATTTCAAAACATTTATGTCCTATATATTTTCATGTTTCTGGGACACTTGCAATAAATTAATATGTAACCATTAATAATAACCTTCTGTACCATAAAACCCCTGGTGGTGCAGTGGGTTAAACTGCTGAGCTGCTGAACTTGTTGACCGAAAAGTTGGCAGTTCGAATCTGAGGAGTGGGGTGAGCCCCAGCTTCTGCCAACCTAGCATTTCAAAAACATGCACATGTGAGTAGATCAATAGGTACTGCTCTGGTGGGAATGTAATGGCACTCCATACAGTCATGCCGTCCACATGACCTTGGAGTCATCTATGGACAACACCGGCTCTTCAGCTTAAAAATTGAGATGAGCACAACCCCCCAGAGTTGGACACGACTAGACTTAATGTCAGTGGGAAACCTTTATACCATAGAGCACAAAGTCAGAGTAGATTTATTTAATTTAATCTTAAAACTTTCATAATCAGCCGATTCATAGGTCTCGGCCGCCATCTACAGACCTACCACCAAAACTCTACACTTGGAAAGGCAATCATACTCGACCATGAGTGATAACCTATGATGATGTTTCATTTTACCTTACCTATTCATCATGACCACTGGTTGTGGAACAAAGTAGGATTTAAAACCATGGCACTGCCTTGACAGTCATGCTTTTCCTCTCTGGACAAAATGGGGAGTGGTAGTTAATGGAAGCATTTCTGGTTTGTTTGCTCCTGTTGTAAAGTGTTATGGATCTACAAGCCTTGTTAATATCATTCAAATTAAGGTTTTAAAAATGGATGATGGAAGGTGTGTTAGTTAATTCCGTCAGGTTTTTATACTAGTTTGGTTAATTTTTACTTCTCCATGCCAGGAAGAAAGCAGGATATTCAGTAAATAAATATATAATAGAAATATATACATAAAGAAAGCACAAAAGTAACACAATTTATGAGCACATAAAAATTCACACTTCAGTTCTGCACTACTTTCCTCCAATGAGTTCCATTTTCTCTGGGGCTATGATGTATCAGTGCAAGCCATCTTTTGACAGTGGTTTGATTAAAATCCCACCAGTAGCTAGAAGGCTGCTCCTTGTGGTAATATGTATGCATATTATTGTGGTAATATATGTGTGTGTGTGTGTAGAGTATCATCTCCCACATATCATTTGACCATCCAGACATGTCCACTGTATACTGCCCTTAGTCTTCACATTTAGCAACTTTCCATCAGTGATGTGTTCCTTTTTCTTTAAGGAAATTGATATGATGTAATTTTAAAAAGTACTTCCTTTTCTGGTACTTTCCTCACTACTACGGCCTTAAAATCAGGGGGCAACTGGCAAGGCAGCCTGTACCCTGTCACCCTTTGTGTTTAGAAAACAAATACTGGGTTACTCCAGGTCACATTTTCTATGAAAATGTTTAAAGTCTGCAACCCATATGAGTATTCCTATATGACCCCTAATTCTTATGCTGGTGCTTTGTATTGTTGCATGATTTCAAGTCATTTATGACTTATGGCATCCCTAAAGCTACTCCATCATGGGTTTGGGGGGCTGTGAGTTTGTGACTCACCCAAGGTCATTCAATGCATTTCTATGTTCAAGCGGAGATTTTAACCCTGGTCTTTAGGATTATAGTTTAATCCTCAAACTGTGATGCCACACTATTCTGTACCTCACTATAGCATGTTTTAATTCTACTCTGACTCTACCATGTGCAAGCCGTTTCCTGTGTAGAAGAGCTTAGGATGCCAATTTAAGGTTCCAACATGCACAACAACGACAACATTTATTATTGTCCATAGACCCATTGGTGAAACAGACAAATCATTTATACATTCTCCAACATTCTGGTAATGTGGCAGTCTTGAAAATAGTTGGCCCTACTCAAGGCTGAATCCTTAATGTAGTTAATACTTACCAAGACACTTCAATTAAATTCATGTGGCACAGGAGAAGACTCATTGGGCTTCCTCCATAAAGTTCTGCTTTGACAATGTGGTAATATCTAAAGATCCAACAGCCTTCTTCAAACTACCTCCTTCCACTGTAGCTTGGCTTCTTTTGGGGCTACCTTGAACTAAACAGTTTCAGAATTATAGCCTTAATCTGCTGTTCCAGGCCAAAGTTCCTGGATAAATGGTGCTGGGTAGCACATGTATGACATATATCAAGACAGATATCTGTTTCACTCAGTCATTGCATTATTAAAAGATAAATTAAGATCATACTTAAACCTGTCTGCATAACTAAAAAGCATGGTGTACAGAGAAGCCTCAGTCATATACTCCCTGTAATACTAAATGATACTGATTAGTATTAATCTTTGTAAGAAATACTATCATTGCTTTATTGCTCATTATAAATACTGTGGCTTGACTCCATAGCTCAATCAATTTTCTAATGATGTACACATGCAAAAAGATAACCATTCAGAGTTCCTTCTCCTATGAAGTGATCAAGGAGTGATTGTATAGAAAAAGAGAGTCATAGGTTGTGGTAGAGTAGGGGTCCTCAGACTAAGGCCTGAGGGCCAGATACGGACCTTCAGGGTCATTTACTTGACCCTTGCTCAGGGTCAACCTAAGTCTTGGAAGCACACAATAACAACAACAATCCTATCTCATCAGCCAAATCCAGGCCCACACTTCCCATTGAAATATTAATAAGTTTATATTTATTAAAATTTTTCTTCATTTTAATTATTGTATTTTTTTAAAGAGGGGTTTTTTTTGCACTACAAATAAGATATGTGCAGTGTGCATAGGAATTCATTTGTGTTTTTTTCAAATTATAATCTGGCCCTCCAACAGTTTGAGGGACCGTGACCTGGCCCTCTGTTTAAAAAGTTTGAGGACCCCTGTTGTAGAGGTTGGGATTGTAGCCTCCCAGTAGTGTTGCCCTCCAACTCCCAGTAGTCTTCATCATTAGCTGTGCTGCTGAGAGTGCTAATCCAATAGCACCTGGAGACCTGCATGATTTGCCTCCCCCCCCCCCCCCCCCCAATTTAGTTGCAGAGCAAATGCTTTTTATGCAGACACTAGCATTCGGATTATTATGATCCTGTCGAAAGATATGAGCCTTATGGTTTCCTGAAAAGGGCTGGTTGCAATTGTAAGACTGTATAAATGTAACTATGTTGCTCTGGCATTGTAAGCCTCATGGGCCACACAAAAAGATGTGGTAGATCGGATTTGACCCATGGGCCTTGCATTTAACATGTCTCTATAGTCAGTGTCCACTGGAACTTTCATTGGATGTTCCAGAAGTGGTTGAACATAGAATTGCACTCTTTAGGCATCTGTAAGTCCTCTAGCACAATTCTATGGTACGCTTTGGCTAGAAGGTCCATTTCTAGATGATAAGCACCAACTGCCCTGGAGGAGCCCAAGGACTAGTACCATATTTGTATTCATTAACTACCGTGGTTTATTTCTTTCCTCCAAACACGTCATGACTGGCAATGGATAGTCGAGTGACCAGCATCTAAGACCACCAATTAGAAAAACACTTCTGTACAAAATCTCAAAATTTGAGCCATAATATTTATTTGTATTTCTTGTCTTTAGACTATTTTGGAACGCCGTTGATTAATTGTCTCTTTGTTCTTTTCAGATTGGCCAGTCTGAAGTTTACATCATTAGTCCTGACACCAAAAAAGTTGTTATTGAGAAAAGCTTTAAGGAAATTTCCTTTTGTTCTCAGGTACCAATATTTTTATGTCATCTTTGTTACACTGTCATGGTTTTATCTAATGTAATGTAAAATAAAATATTTGATGAAGTGAAAGCAAAAATAAAGAGGTGAAGAAAATCTGTGGCCTCCAGGGTTTGGGCATAGTGTATTCATTTTAAGAAACTGCATCCTTTACTGTTTAATTTCAGACTGAAACGAACTGTTTTCATAATGTTTAAACACATATACCTCCAGGTAGATTCCAGAAACAATCCACACCCTATCACATGGTCAGTATATGGCAGGATTAAATACCATTTCTGTGCAAAGTTCAATGTGGAGTGAATTTTATGAGAACAAGCTTTCAGCAATCTAGATTTTTTTTTTCCCTCAGGATGTTCAAATGGTGGGAGTAGATAATCATGGTCTGTAGAAATCCCAATATAATTTGAAGGAAAGCAACCTGGGATTATAAATGGGACTGTAAATGTCAGAAAAATGTCAGAAATATATTTTCTCAAGAAAATTTCTCAGCCAGTAAAATGTACCTTCTTTAAAACCTCTTCCATTGTCAACAAACTCTCTGAGTCAGCACTTAGCAACTTGCCCTTAAGGTCAAATTCTGTCTTTCTCAGACCAACAGGAAACAAATTCCAAATGTAATGACCCAACTCCCTCTCTCAGTCAATTTAATTGCTTAACTAGTGATATAGCCACTAGAAGAAAACAGGACATATGTTGTCATTCAATGTCTCTTGAAAAAGAAGGCCATCCACTCTACATCTTTCTTCAGAGAGAAGCCACAAATCTGTTTCCATCGTGAATATTGGCAGCACTATGAGATATTCATTCTCATTTGCTTTCCTCTTCTTTTTCCCGGTGGAGACATGAATCTTAAAACCAGATTTCTCTAAAACGGTCTTACATTCAACATACATCTGTGTGCATTGTAAGAACTCTTGCATTGCAGGTAAAAAATGAACTCTGACTAACAACTTTACTGAATATTAAAATAGATAGATGAGTTTATTAAACCTGTTTAGTCGTTAATATTTGTCTCTTACTACTGATTCCAGATTTGTTGACCATTTTGAAAAAGTTTCAAATCATTTATGAATGTATACATTTCTTGCAGGGAATCAGGCATGTGGACCACTTTGGTTTTATCTGCAGGGAGTCATCAGAAAATAGAGGGTTCCATTTTGTCTGTTACGTGTTTCAGTGTACAGATGAAGCCCTGGTAAGAGAACATGCATGCAAATTATGATAAGATTTTACTAGCCCACACACTTACATAAAGTATAAGCCCCATAGGCAGTAATGGGTGTAAAACTTCTTATAATAGTGTGTAACAATAATGAAGCATTGTTCCTACTGATGAAAAATGATCTTATGTTATGTTTAAATGAAAATTAAACCAACCCAAATGATAAATTTGGCATGGTGAGATTTCTATTACTAGGCAATTTTGGTCAGTAATATGTAGCCCTATGCTTTCGTGTAATCCTTAGAATGATGTAGCCTATAGGAGCCACAGTGGTGCAGTGGGTTAAACCCCTGTGCTGGCTGAACTGCTGACTTGAAGGTCGGTGATTCAAATCCACAAGATGGGGTGAGCTGTCAACTCCAGCTTCCCATGTGGAGACATGAGAGAAGCTTCATACAGAATGGGAACACATCCGGGCATCCCCTGGGTAACTTCTCTGCAGAAAAGTAAATTCTCTCACACCAGAAGCGACTTGCACTTTCTCTAGTTGCTTCTGACATATAAAATGTAGCTTTTAGCCTAATCTCAGAAGTCTTCTGTAAGAGTGATTTATCCTTTCTTCAGACTGGCAAAGAGAGTAGGGAGGTATGGATGGGAAAGAGAGAATTCAGGGGGAAGGGGATGAAAACCAAAGAAGGAGTGATGAATTTACCAACTTTTGGCTTTCATTCCCCAGAGAGAATATGATTTAAAAGGGCTTCCATCATGAGAGAAAGGGGATCTTTTTTTCTTTGGCTCAATCAGACTCCCTAACCATGTTTAAACAGAGCACTTTTATTATTACTAACCACAATGTATCACTAAGGTTTGCAAATAGGGAACAGCAAGAGCAAGCACAATAAAAGAAGTGATATGATATATTCCATCAAAACAAACAGATAAAAACGACAAAGCAAATCAGCAAGTTGATCCCGCCATAATGTTTTTGGACTGACAGTAGATTTAGCACTCACTCAGGAGTCCATTTGTCATGTTCCTAAGATGGTCCATGAATATTCATAACAATGTGAAAGAACCCTTTCAGCATGACATTGAAGTCATTATCTAATGTGCTTTGGGAAGCCAAATTATGAAACAAGGGCAACGTACAGCAACGTAAAACATTATCAATGCCATCTGCCTACTCCCCCACAGTACACGTATTGTTGGGAGGAAAATGGAGCAACAGCTGTTGGATACAGGACAGCCCTTGATACCAGATATTCCACAAGCCACCCAAAGACATCCTTCCTCTTGCCAACCTGTTTTAAAATAACAGAATGGCAGTTACAGGGTGTCAACTGCAGTATTACCCACTTCCATCTGTGATGGAAGCATGCGTTAGTGTTCCCAAACTGTGAAACTCATGCACAAATTCTCCTAGGAAAGTCCTCAAAATTGGGGTAATAGGCATTTAGACAATTCTTTCCCTGCAGTGCCATTGAAAGTTATGACAGAAGGGGAAATAGAAGAAGCATGGGGAAAACATCCTGACATTCCTGGATATATTTTCATTATTGAATTATTGAAGTATATGGAAGCCACATTTAAATTGAGATTTATTCTTGCATTTTATTATTCTAAAACTGTCACTAGTATGGGAATGTTGGACTAAAACATTAAATGATATTACTTTTTATGATGTAATCTAGACATGATAGTTGTCATTGTTACAGACTTTGCTCCAAGATTGTGGAGATAATTGAATGATGCTTGATCCCCACAATATCTCATGAACCCTACAAACCAGGTCATGGAAAGTAGTGAGGAAAATACAACTCTTAAACTATTACAGTTCATTTTTGTAGCCTCTGGAGTTCCCCAGCCTCCAAAAATTTTATTGTTTTCATGTGATTTTTCACATACACATGCATGAATGGTGCAAAACTTATCAAAACTGCTGCAGCTGACACCCTACCCAAATTACAAAATTGTCTGAATAGTAAACCAGAACTGATGTCAACATCGCTTTTAGTTTTGGTTTTGAACAGCAATACAGCCCAGGGAGAGAACATGTGAGAGGAAATAACTCCTTACTTCCTCACTACTGGTCTATACCAGAAAACTATATATTTGCTTTCAATCTTGGCTTGTGTCGCCAACCTAAACTTTCTTTCCTCCAGGTTGATGAAATCATGATGACTTTGAAGCAGGCATTTACAGTAGCTGCTATCCAACAAAACCCCAAAGCACAACTCCAGTTCTGTGACAAGTGTCCCATGCAGAGCCTTCATAAACTCTGTGAAAAAATAGAAGGTAGGAAGTATATAGTATGACACATGTTTCTTTTTTAAAAAGAGAAATAAATATGATATTGTTAAGTGTACAGGTGAGGGATAAAGCCCTTTATTAAACCATTTCTATTTAAAACAGTTCTGCTACTTGAAAAACATTGGAAATTCAGAGGAAAGTCCTAACTGGACAAGCATGATTATTTATTTATTTATTTATTTCTACCCCGCTTTTCTCCCAGAGTGGGACTCAAAGTGGTGAGGTCAAAATTTGATCAAAGGTCAAAACTGGAAGAAAGCTTATTGAAGTTTAGAGAGTAGTCCTAACTGTAAAGCATGAATACATTTAAGGTGCAAAATATTGAGGAAAGTAGATTGGATATAGTTCTTCTCCCTGTGTGCATATACATGGTGAGTGGGGAAACTGTAAGAAGAAATAGACCAGGAGTGGGCTCTGCATAGTAAGAAACCTTATGCATGAAGAAAATTTTTTTTTGCTGTAAAGTCATTGGGTAAGGGTGTCTGCTTTGAACAGTGGTTCCCAACCTTTTTTTTTTTACCGGAGACCACTTGACCAAGAGCCACTTTGACCAGGGACCACTCTCCAACTTTAGTACCAAAAAGGTTACAAATTGATTTTTGGTCAACTTTAGATTGGGTTTGGTTATTTGGGGTGCTGATGCAGAAAATTGCATTGAATAGACTACATCAGCTCTAGTTTCTGACAAAACATATGTCATCCAGTAGTCGCCATCTGCTCGCCCACAGAAAACCATATTTAATAAGCCTCAGCACAATAAGAAAGTTTCGTGAGACCAGTTGTTCTGGTTCATTTACCCCGTCCTTCTCCCACAAGGGGACTCAGGGCAGCTTTACATAAGCATCTGTGATGCTGTCAACATATACATTCAATTAAAACAATAGGCTCAAATAAAACATTATAAAAGTCATCAATAAATACATTTAACATTCAACATTCAATTAACATGGCGTTAGAACCAAGATCCAACGGTGTAACGGTGTACATCATTGGATCGGTGCAACGGTGTAGTACAGGTGCGGCCACAAACCATCTTTTAGTTCTTGTGGACCTCTGGTGGGAACCATTGGACTTAAAGGATTGAGTGGAGAACTATTTTCATTGAGCCTGTGTTAACACGGCTAAAATGATCTTATTGGGTACTCTTGACTTCTGACTCCACAAACTCATCAGGAAAAAGAGTCTTCTTAGGTTCCATAAACTAAGCTAAGCCTCCAAGACCATGGCTGCTCCATCATTATGATAAGTCACAGCTACCAGGACATTTTTGCATCTTAGCTTCATGAGGCTGATAACAGAAGAAACTCCCCCACTGTGCTCTCTTTTGATCAAATGTGCACTGAGTATAATACCTGTCAATTTATAGATTGACAAGGCAATTTGGATACCAAAATGTGCCCTACTTGCTCTCATTTAATTTTTTATCTGTTTTTCTCTCTCTTTACTATACATTTACTTGCTTACTTCCTAGGGATGCATCCTTCTAAGACTAAACTAGAACTCCAAAAGCATCTAACAACACTGAATAATGAAGAGCAGGTTTCAGTCTTCGAGGAAGTTCAGGTAATATGCGTACTGGTGTCTCTCTAGGGAAGTCATACAGTTGTTTATTTTTTTATCTCTGTTTAATTTTTGTGTAGGAGGAACATGTGCACTAAATTAATGTATTTGGTTTTATATCATGAAATGACAAATCTGTAAAGGCTTAATAATCCCATGTTTTACTATTGGTGTGTTTTTTCTTCTTTATATAATGCATGCAGTGTAGTATTATGAATAAAAAATCTTTGTCAAAATGCATCACTACTTGCTGTGGTACAGTAAAAAGGCAATAAGGTGTAACTGATGGATAACGCTGGGGAAAAAGCAGCTGGCTCATTATTGAAAAATGACTCTATTTACTCATAGATAAGCCAACATCTTCATTTTAGTCATTTTTACTCATGTTACCTTGCAGCATCCCTTCCATAATAATCCTCACCAAAGCAGCCACAATTTTCTCTTATGCCCAATATAAAATAGCAAACCTTGGCCTACTTGGTTATAATTTCATTCAGGGATCACTGGCAGAACCTTAACACTACAAAATATGAACAGATAAAAATACGATGTTTCTTCATTTGAACTTTTAACTTATATAACTTATGTACATTTATGTGATTGTAAAAAAACTTGCAACAATGCCTTTGCTTTGAGATTTTCTTTCTAAATTTCTTAGAAATTTACAATTATATTCTATAACGTACGTAATATAGTCTTTTCCAATGTGGTAAACCATAGGTGTTTTGGACCTTTGAAACTCCCTCTTCCATGATCTTAGCTTTCTTTTTTGCTAGCCAGTTGTACATATTGTTTAGTATATAGTATATAGTGTCATTTTAGTAAACAAACACATTTTCGTACATAGTGTACTAAAAACAATTGAATCATAATTCTCTTCAAAGCACAATTTAGATCGCTGTCCTCTTTTCCATTGTAGAAAATAAGGCCAAGAAATGAACAGAAAGAGAATGAGTTAATAATCTCAGTCTTGAGAAGTATGTATGAAGATAAACAAAAGGATCACGTTCATCTTAGTGAATCCAAGCAGGTATGCAGTTATGAATCCTTTTCCTTTTTTCCTGAAAAATGTATATTATTTTAAAAGTAATTGATGATCTGTACTTCCCTCTTAAAATATGTAATAATACAGTCCTCTTAATAGAATCACATGTTTACACATCGCTCCACATACTCACCCTTAACATAGAAATCACGCATGTGCAAGTTAACATTCAACTGGTGAGATTACTCTTTTAGCCAACTTATTTAATGTTTGTTAGCTAATTATGAAGGACAAAATGTTTTTGTTAAATATCAGAAATACTTCAACAGTTATGAAAGTTTTTGTGGAGATTGCTGAACACTTTGTTAACCCAACAAAGGACATTCTGGTCTCTTCCATTTCAAAGAACACAACTCAAGATATAATACTTGATTTCTTGAGAATCATGAGTGCTACCAACAAGAAATATCTTTCTGAAAGTATGAAGCTGATAACTTTTATAATGACATAACTGAACCAGGCTAAGTAGCCCTAGTGTCATAGCTAGTTGCTGGTAGCTAGTTGCTAGTAGCAACGTTGGTGTTGGGAGCTGCAGCCTGAAGTTCTATGTGTAGATTCTTTTATCTTGAAAGATGGACTGTACCTTGGATATTGGATTGTGCATTGTGAATTATACTTGGAAACTGTATTGGTGAGATATCCTGGCTTCAGAATATTGGAACAGACTTACAGTTTATCCTCTTCCCTCATCCTTACTTGGCTGACTACTGAATGTGTTGACCTAGGACTGTCTCTGGACTACATTTGTGGGCTTGGTTGATTTTCAAGAGACTCTCTGGGTAGGGTTGTGACACTTCCACTGAAATGTAGCATACAGTACCTGGTATTTATTGGTAGTCGTCATCAAAATACCAGCCATGGCTGACCATGCTTAGCTTTTGAGATCAGATGTGATTTAGTACCTTTAGGGCAGTAGTTCTCAATCTTTTTCTGATGAGGGACCACTTTGACCAAGGGCCAATTTGACCAGGGACCACTCTCCAACATTAGTGCCAATCAGTTTTTGGTAAATTTTAGATTTGGTTGGTTATTTGGGTGCTAATTCAGAAAATTGCATTGAATAGACCACATCAGCTCTAGTTTCTGATACAGAGCCTATGCCATTCAGTAGTCGCCACCTGCTCACCCATAGAAAACTATATTTAATTATCTAGAGCCATGACTTCTTTTAGGTCTCATGGCCCACAAGTTGGGAACCACTGCTTTAGGGTATTAATAGGCCCGGTTATCTTTTCTATGGAATTTTGTTCTGTTTATGTTCTTTTTTTAAAGTGTTTTTTATTACTTTCTAGACCTCACAGTCTTCAGTAGAGGCCATGGGAAATGAAATGCCAAGCAACACACCCCGTTTCCGACTAGATATGTTGAAAAGCAAAGCTAAAAGATCACTAACAGAGTCATTAGAAAGTATTTTATCTCGAGTAAGTATCTATATTTGTGGTACCACATGTTTAATGGTGCTATTTTCTCTTCTTAATTTCAGATGTAGTGCTTAGAGAAATATCAAAATTTTCTATGTTAGAACTTACATTAGCTTTATACGATAGTCAAGCGGTATAAAGTATTTGAAATATCTTTATCGGTACACATTATCCTCTCTGTAAATATAACTCAAGTCTCATATTTTGCCCTTTAAACAGTTGGCACCAAGTGCATATTAGCTATTGTAGTATTAATATAAACATTTGCAGTTAGGTGTTATGTGTTAAAGAAGAAAAGTGAAGGCATGTACACAACCTTTTTGTATTGCAGAAAAGACTGTCAGAAGACACCCGCTACTTAACATCTTACATATTACAATTAGCCCAATTAAATGTAAGATGTAATGTTCAACGAATAGAACTGTGATGCTGTGAATAGAACTAAATATTAGCAAAAGAAGTGGTTGTCAATATGACTTTTCCAACACCAATCTGCCTAAGATTGTTTACCCTGGTCTGGGTACCTCTACATTCAGAGATGGACCACTTTTGAGGACAGATCCTTTTCAGTGGTGGTTCCTAGGTGTTGGAATACTTTTCTTGTTCAGATTTATGTGGCATTTATATTTTCAAAATTTAGAACTAAACACTTTTCTGTTCACGAGTATTTAATGACATTTAATTCAGTCTATATAAATGTTTTAAATGGCAGACAAAACTTCTGTCTTGTAAGTCTTCAGAAAGATAAGCTCTAATTACCAATTATCTATAATGTAAGTGTTCTAGGCCAAGTGTTTTGGTATTTGACTGTGTGAAGCTGTACCCTATAAACATGTTCTCTTTGAAGCACCATGAGAACTTGTTTGAGCTTTCCCCTAATTCTGATATATGAGAATTTGTAGGAAAGGTGTTTTCAGCATATCTGAATGTTTTTACTTCCTGGTTTCATGTAGTGCAATGATTGTAAGTTAAATAATTTTAACTTACAATACTACAAGTGCCCAGTCACTTATTTAAAATTTCTCAGTATAAGAAAGAATCTATGTATCGTTTGTATCTGCAAAAGGAGAACTTAAATCAATATGAGAGAGACATGTTTTGTTAATGTCTAAGTTGCTTCCAAAAGTCAGTGTGGATGACCTTTCTAAAGGATATCATAGTTTCTCATGCTGAGTAACTATTGTTAGTTCATTTAGGAAATTAAATTAAAAGATGCCTCCAGTAAAATGAGACTTTGGGGGATTTAATTATTTCTTTAGCATTACTGTGGCAAATGGAAGTGTGAATGTTTTCAAATTTTTTAAATACATGTTTTTCTAACATTTTTTTCTGCTAGGGTAATAAAAGTAAAAATCAGCTTGAAAGTTCTGAAAGTATTGACTTGGACAGCTCTTTATCAAGCACAATAAGCACAACAAGCAAAGTAAGTACAAAGTAAAGGACAAAGACAAAAAGAAATAGTATATTTTGCCCTCTTTTTGTATTATATTTGATAACATATTATTTCCTTGAATTCTTGGTCTTTATTGAAGTCACTAAATTATTAAAGAGGTTGTATTGACTTATCATAAACTTGCTAATAAACCCAAAGACATTTGTAGCCCATAAACTGTTTTAAGTAGTCCACCTGCTATGCACAAATAACTTTTGTAAATTCCTTCTTATCAAGTTCACTTTATTACGGTCAATGACTGATTTGAGAGAAGGACATAGTCCCATTCAAGCGTATCAGAATTAAGGGTTGAGAAATTTAAAACTTTAAAATAAGTGCATCATTGTTAGGACATTATGGTAATTAACTTAAGTATCTAAGCTAAAAGGGATATACAGGATGTATTGTCGCAGGCTTTCATGGCCAGAATCACTGGGTTGTTGTAGGTTTTTCGGGCTATATGCCCATGTTCTAGAAGCATTCCCTCCTGACATTTCACCTGCATCTATGGCAGGCATCCTCAGAGGCTGTGACCTCAACACAATTTATGGAATTATAGGGAAGGGAATCTAAAGGGAGGGAATAGGGGTGCTCATGTGGCACAGGGGAGGGAAGTCCAGTCAAACAAAGGAGGGAGCAACATCCATACTCTAATTTAAAGACTGCAATCCCAATTTTCTGCTAGTATGAAGTCCTGGCTTGTACTAGCTTGTGCTATTAGTCATCAACTGCTGGATTTTCGTTGTTGCTTTTCAGAACTTGGAGACATTATAAGTTATAGCCCAATTAGTAGCTAAAAGCAGCAGGAAGATAGAACATTGTCCACAGTGTCCTGGATATTTGTATAGCCAAGGTGTAATGAGATGGGATAAAATATCTCTATAGAACAGGTACTGAAGAAACAGTACCTGTTCTCTGTGTCCTGAGTCACAGGGGCATAGTCTCTCAGAGTATGGGGCCTTTTGGTGACGGCCTTCTCATACAGCAGATGGGAGGGCATGGCGGCATGCCAGAGTGAAGGTCCTCCGATGGCTGGAAACCCCCAGCATGGTTAGATATTTCATAGAAGAGGTACAAAAACCTACTGATTCCATCAATAATAAAGGATGGGGCATTGGCTAAGTCTGATTGGTGCTCAATGTCAGTTAATCATTGATTATTCCAAGATTTGGCTTGGTTGTAGTCCATACTTGTTAACAGTCCTGGGGAGCAGCCCAGGGAAACTTATGGCTGCTATTGCTTTTTAGTTTTCTGAAAGTAACACTTTTCTAATTTATAAAACAGTTGCAACAACCCCACCCCCTCAAATCATGATACTATTCATGACAGTTGATGTGTCACATAAGTTTATGATTTTATGGTGAGATCAGTACAAGAACAACAATATACTTTTAAAAAATAATGGATATGGGACAAAAATTAATTCTTGGCTTTCCAAGCAAACATTAGGTAGTATTTTGCTTTCACATGCAGCCTAGATATTAGATTCTGGCTCAGGGCAAGAGAACTACACCATTTTTGTTACGTTCTCTGTTGGGAATCTAGGGAAAATGTTGTAACACAGTAGTTGAAATGAATGAAACTATAAATGCACCAGTAGATCACTAAATAAAATGTTTTCTTCAGGAGTGAATTCTTTTTTTTTTTTTTGAAGTTTGAGGTTACAACTTATGCATCATGTATGTTTTGTTAAGATATATATCATGTGTGTTTTCTCTCTCACATTAACAGGAAGCATCTGTGTGTGAAGGAGAGGACCTCCTTCCCATAGAGAGTCCTGTGAAGGCAAATGGATCTGTAAACAATGTCCTTATTGAGTCAGAAAGTGCGTGCACTGAGCAGTCTGCAAAAGCAGCTTACCAGGGTTTTAGACGGCGAGCAAATACCCTGACCCACGTTCCAACAGAAAACCAAGATTGTTCAGAACCTACAGAAGCATCTCCACCTGTTCCTCAAAGGAAACTTATGAGGTATCATTCTGTGGGCACAGAGACTCCTCACCAGCAAACGTAAGGCTAAGTTTAAAGCAGGATACTGTCTGGGAGAAGGTTGGGGAAAATGATTTAAGTTATGTCAATTATAGGGAAAGTAATGTTCTCTTTTAATAAGTATAAATATAACTAACTATAGTATGGCTTAAATTTTACAATTCTCAGACAGTATCACAAAGTATCTTTCTCATGTCAGCATTGTTTTTGAATCAAACATCTGACATTTGACTGGGGAAGTGGACAAGTGCCTAGCCATTTATAGTATTCCTCCACATTTACTGGGTTTAAGGGGTAGGTCCCCCATGAAAATAGCACAAATAAAAACCACTTTTTTATCTGAGAAAACACTTTTCTAGGAATCTCTAAGCCCTCCTGTGCAACTCTACAGCCAACTGCAGTCAGACAGTAACTACAGAATCACACTGGAGAAGCCACCAATCCTGAGAGAAGCATTAGGGATTTCTAGGTTCTCTGATGCCCTGCTTCTTAGTCTGTGGGTCCCAATTCCAAATTGAGCCCTTTAGATCAATGTTGGGATTACAAAAGTTTGGCAACACTAAAATGCTTCTGAACAGCACCCATTTATACAAGTCTGTTATCAACAACCTGCAGTGTTTATAATAGACTCTGCAGAAAATGCTTGAACTGTAATTCACAGAAAGGTAAATCAGACTCTTTAGCAAGCTTTACAAATGGTGATTTATTATCAGTAAACATTTTATTGTTATACTATTTTATATACCCACCATATTTACTCAAATCTAATGCTCACGTCTTTTTTTTTTTTGGACTACATTACATTGTTAAAATTGAGGTGTGTATTAAATTCGATGGTGCATTTGAATCGTGTACATAACCCCACCTGCATGAAAAGCCCCAGAGTGACCTAGAACCCCGAGGGCAAGACAGGAAGGTGGGGGCACAAAGAGACTGTTCCCGGTGGTGATGGCCACCTCAAGGCTCCATGGAGCCTGGAGAAGGAGATGGAGGGTCCAACTAGTGACCCAGTCATTCCTGCCACAACCACAGATCATTCCTCCTGGGTGGCCCTCAGGAGGCAGGAACTTGCATGCCCGCCCTAAGCTCTGTCCCTTGTGGTTCCAAACTGGCCTCATTCACAAGGCCTTCAAAACATCTCCCTCAGTTTTGAAGGCCTCATGAATGAGGCCAGCTGGAGATCATACGACGCTGGCAAGTTAGCCAGCCCTGGCCTGATGGGGGGTTGTGGCTTCTCAAATGACTTCATTCATGATGCTTGTCTCCCTCACATGCTATGCCTGCACACTGTTGAGTTCATTACATTCCAAATGCAAATCAATTTTTGTTTTGTTGTTTTGTCTTTGTAATTTATGCACCTTCAAAATTGAGGTGTGCATTACATTCAATTGTGCATAATACTTGAATAAGTTTGGGTATATACTTGGGATCACATAAAAATTCCTTGGGAGGAAAGGGATCATGCATGGAAAAAGTTTAAGAAACCCTGATCTAATGCACCTCTGTGGTCAACTTCTAGTGGACAGTGATCATAGTCACACTAGAGGACCTAGAAATTCCCAGAGAGAACATATTAATCAGATTTATGAATAATCAAATTCACAAAAGCGAAACCTGTAGATGTGGAGGACTGACTATAGTTCCCTCACTTAATGCAAACTATAAAGTAAGTTCTCAGACTAGAGAAGTACTTATGCAATGGTCCATTATCAAAAGGCTGGAAATAAATACACAGATTACCATACTTGCTGCTGTTGTTATGTTGTTGCTGGGGTTGGAGTGGAGCAGAGATGTATGTGACCAAAATGTGTACAAAAACTGAATGGGTAATTAGTTCTACTAACACCCACAAAAAAGAAGACTAAATCGTGAACGGGTTTGAAAAATTGTCAAAAAGTTAGAATCTTAACTGTTTTGCCCACTAAGAAAGATTGAACACACCACCCTGTTCTGCTTTGTGGGCTTCATGACACAATACAATTGGAACATGTAGGTTTATATTGGAACCAATTTTTATATTCTACCATTTCATCTTTTTCTTCATATGTTCATTTCTAAGTATTTGTGTATGTGTGCAACCTTGGATTATTGCTTTTGTTGTTGTTTATTTGTTCAGTCAGTTCTGACTCTTTGTGAGCTCATGGACCAGCCCATGCCAGAGCTCCCTGTCAGCTGTCGCCACCCTCAGCTCCTTCAAGAATTATTGCTAATCTACTGGAATTATTCCCTTTATATTTTCAAGTTATTAATAATACGTTGCCTACCTCTTAATGTTTCACTGCTGATACTTTTTATGCAACCCACAGAATGGGTAACTGCAGTTGGTATGAAGTCAGTACTGTTTTACATGCCCTAGTGAATAGTATGGAGGAAAAATATTCCTAAAATTAATGCTTAAGAAAGAGGATTGAGTGAAAGAAAGGTTGAATAACCTAGCTTTTCTTGCTCTTTCTTTGAATCTTGTCGATTCCTATATATCTTTAGCATCATAACTTTGGACTTGCTCCTGTTTGTTGATCGTATTTTGCTCCATTTTTGGCATATTTTTTTGTTAATATATTGCATCATACTGGAATGCGTGAGCGTGAGTCTCAAAACATCAGATTCAGAAATGACTCCGAATTACACAACAACAAAAATGTATAACAAACCAAGATACCAAGAAGATCTTCTTGGGATAAGTCAGGTTTAAGCAGGAGGCCAGATTTTAGAGAAATTGTACTCGTCTGTTCCTATGGTCTTTATAGTTGTGGTGTTGCTAATCTTTTATGTGGCACTCTGAATACAAAGGAATCTTTTTTATCTTATGTTTATCTTATGTTTACTGTGCCCTTTTAGTTGGTTTTTCACGTGTCTTTTTTCACTCCCTTCCCTTTCTTTTAACAATCTCTGTTGGATTCCTCTGCATAAAATATGAACACATCTTCCAGCAGCTCTAACACTTCTGCTGATAAGTCAATGCCAGCTCGTCCTCTTTCTCCTCCTCCTCCAGCTCATCTTAAACCCTCGGCCTCCTCACCCAATTTCTTAAAACATCTTAGGCCTAATTCAAGTGGAGAACAAACCAGGCGTACTATGCCAAAGAGGTGAGAGACGAGATGAATGGCATTTGTCTTTGCTTGGCAATGTATCAACTTGTAAGCTTATATCCCTAGGAATTTAACATTATACAATATAAAGGTAAAGGAAGGTAAAACAAAAAAAAAGTTAATCCACAGAAAAAAGCACACTGGCATTATATCTTATGTTGTGTAAAAGTGCCAATTGTGTTAAGTCTTTACTATGATTTATTAGGCATCTTTACAAAGCTGTTCAAAAATTTAAGGTACCCTTTGCCAAATAAAAAGAAATAGCAAAGAAGAAGAAAAATTGCAGGAAGGGGAAGAATGAACTATGCAGTTCACGTTCCCTCTCCCACTTATATTTAAATAGTTATTTTCCCATCTCCTTCACCCCACTCCCAAACTAGTTCCAGGACACTTTTAATATAAGGCGTAGCTTTGCTTATGAATTTGTTTTTATTCACTTCCTGTATTACCTAATCATTGTGACTTATTGGATATATATACTTCACAACTGAATAAATAAATTAGTTCTTCCAATGATTCTAATTCACAAATTTCCACCATAATTTTGACCTTGTTTAGATGTTCTGGATAATTCCAGAAAGATGTTCTGGGCACTTCCTAATAATGTCAGTAAAAATACATTATACAGCTAGTCCTTTTTGCCCCTGTTGATCTATATGTATGTGTGAGCCAAGAGAAAATTTGGAAAAAGTAATGAAATGCCTGTTAGAAAGCTACAGTATTATCTGAGCCTCCAATAACATTTCATGAATGTGACTGGGGAATAACTAATTGAAAGTATTCCATGTTCTCCAACCCATGGCATGGAGAATTAGGAATGAATTATGATATACCTATTTTCTCCTCCTTTCTCACCTTTCATACCATATTTCAACAATTGCAAGATGCAGCCTGATTTTTGAAGTTCAATTTTAGAGAAAATGTATTTTCAATTCTATGACACATCCCTTTTAATTGAGCCTTGGCTTTTCCCCCCTAAGACCCAAATTGTTTGTCTTGATGCCCAGCTGTCCTGGGCAGCCCTGGAAAGCCTCCCACTCTGCTCCTGATGCTGCTACTGCCTCCCCAACCTTTCATCCTGCTGCCAGCTTGGAGCATGGAGCTTCTCTGTTCTGGGCTCTTGCAGCTTGTCTTGTCATTGCTGTCGCCCCAGTGTTGCTGAGTTTGTCTTGGAAGGAGAGGATCTGTGTGATGGCAGTGGCAGAGAGAGGGGGAGCTGCATGGTGGTCCGTCTTACTCTCTGGAGGTGGCAGCGATGAGGCAAGAGGAACCCTTGCATGCCTGGAATGTGAAGCAGTAGGTCTCCATTGCTCCTAGTACACAGGGTTTCTTCCTCTCATCTCTTTCCTCTAGAGCAGTGGTTCTCAACCTGTGGGTCCCCAGATGTTTTGTCCTTCAACTCCCAGAAATCCTAACAGCTGGTAAACTGGCTGGGATTTCTGGGAGTTGTAGGCCAAAACACCTGGGAACCCAAAGGTTGAGAACCACTGCTCTAGAGGGAGAGAGACAGAGAAATCAGCTAAAAGGCCTGCACTTCAGATCTGGCTTCTTTCTCTCTCTTTCTCCCTCTCTTTCTCTGGAGCCAGGAGAGGAGAGGAGAGGAAGAAGCCTTGTGTGCAAGGAGCAGTGGAGGCATGCCACCTCATTCTCCTGGTATATAGGACTTCCTCTTGCCTCACTGCTGCTTCTACTAGAGAGAGAGAAAGCGCCCATGACACTCTTACTCCCACAGCCTCTGATCATCTTCCTTCAAGGCAAACCCAGGAAGACAGGGGAATGGCAGCAATCAGGCCAGCAGTATCAGCCCAGAGCAGAGGACCCCCATCTTCCAAGCCTGTGGCAGCTCAAAAGGTGTGGAGGTTGGGGGAGCAGCAGCAGCCTTATGGGGGCTGCCCAGAACAGCTTGCTTGGCTCCCACTTTCTCAGCCACTTCTCCTGATCTTTTTTTTAAAGATCCATGTGATTCAGTGCTGCTATCGATTCTAAGTCTAAAACACACTCTCTTTTTTGAACCTTTTGAAAAAAGTGCATATTAGAATTGGTGAAATACAGTATTTGATTAATACTGGTTCATCAAACCAGTTTCCCATGACAAGCAAACCAAAGTTCCTCTTAAGCAGTGTTTTTTTGGAGAAACAAAGAGAATGATGCCTGAGTAAAGCAATGTTTTCTTTATTTTGTTACTACATTATGAAACTTGCATCCATGAACTACATGGAATACACTTGCCTGCACATATTGTTATGTGTACATGCAATGAAATGTACTTATATGAAATGTACTAATGAGTTGTTGTCATCATACTTTCCACTACTACATGTGTTATCATATGAAGCTATTCTTGTTTCTGTAGAAGAAAGAATCAAATCTTAAAGCGAAGTGGGTGGGATGGGCACAGTTCAAATCATTGGCTACATGTGGCCCTTAGGATCCAAAGTATGACCCCTAAACATTCCAGTTCACTACATTTTTAATTATTAAAAAATGGAGATTCCATCTGAACATGAGGAAGAACTTCCTGACTGTGAGAGCCGTTCAGCAGTGGAACTCTCTGCCCCGGAGTGTGGTGGAGGCTCCTTCTTTGGAAGCTTTTAAACAGGGGCTGGATGGCCATCTGTCAGGGGTGATTTGAATGCAATATTCTTGCTTCTTGGCAGGGGGTTGGACTGGATGGCCCATGAGGTCTCTTCCAACTCTTTGATTCTATGATTCTATGATTTCACCATGGAACTAGAAAGAGGAAAAAAAACTTAAAATGAATTTATTCAGTGCCCATCTTTCTACTTAAAATAACTATTTGAATCCAGTCAATTATTTGAATCCAACAACATCATTAAATTTGATGTTGCTAATACAAAAAGGCAATTATACCACAAAAGAGATTTGTAGAGATGTCTGTTGTTTTAAAAAAATCATAACTGCATAGAAAAAGAAAAGAAAAGAGCCCTGCCTCATTCTGTTCCAAGTGATGAAGACCCAAATTTTTGTCCTAGTTTCTTATTATCATTCCCTCAGTTACACTTCAAAGACCAGAGTGATCGGTGTTGTGTTCTTCATGAATTTCAAACACACCTCTGAGAGTCAACCTACAAATATACATATTCACAGAATGCCTTGCAGTGCTGGTCTTTGTTTTTTCTCTCTCTCTTTTGTTTTGTTTTTGTTATTTGTTTTACCTCCTACAAGTATGATTTCCTTCCTTAATTTTAAACTGACTCTTTTGTGTTTTGTGTTTTTAATTTTACCTGGCATCCCTATACTCCCTCATTCTGAACTACCCCCTTTCAACTACACTCAGCACCTCCTACCGTTCTACTCTACGGAAAAAACTTCACTCTTCCTCTTCTGTGCCAAACTTCTTAAAATTTCTGGCTCCTGTAGATGAAAATAACACCTCTGACTTTAGGAACATGAAAAGGTAGGGCACTCTTCCTGCAGCTGAAAAATCTATGGTTTGAAACATTGTCTCATGATATGATAAAATAGTCTAAAGTTGGAATCATTATTACTAGTGAGATGAAGGTGGGGATTTTATTAAAGACAGAGCTCCTGCACTTCAAGTTTACCATATTTATGTCAGTAAATAATATTGACAATGTGGAAACCATGAATCATTCAGCTTCTATGGTTATGTAGTGATGGTTTTGGTGATGTGGTTATGGTGGCGTAGTGATGGTGATGGTGATTATATGTGTGAAAGACATTACTTAACAGGTTTGTGTTAGCACAGTATGTGAATAGAAATTAGCTTATCTGTTGTAGGTTCTGAGAATCTTTCAAAGGACCAAAACTACGTTTCATTGATCGTTATTTGGAAAACAAAGCAAACAAGATGAATGTTGCTGCTTTTATTTTGAAGGAACAGCAGCCCAGGATCCTTCGTCAGGCTCTCAGATTGCCTACTGAAAATCTCACATGCACATCCTTTTGCTGTTTGATTTTGAATGTGCTGCTTTCAGAAAATACAGTAGAGTCTCACTTATCCAACATAAACAGGCCAGAAGAACGTTGGATAAGCAAAAATGTTGGGTAATAAGAAGGGATTAAGGAAAACCCTATTAAACATCAAATTACATTATGGTTTTACAAATTAAGCACCAAAACTATTATGTTTTACAACAAATCAACAGGAAAAGCAGTTCAATACATGGTAACGTTATGTAGTAATTACTGTATTTACTAATTTAGCACCAAAACATCACAATATATTGAAAGAGCTGTGGATCCGGGCAGGAGGCAGACTGTGTTGGATAATACAGAATGTTAGATGAGTGAAGGTTGGATAAGCGAGACTTTATGGTATCTCTGTTGACAAATATTCCCTGCGGATTTGAAACAGGAAACAAGTGTGAAGTTCTCATTTGAAATAGAAGCAAAGTCCCAAGTTAGGATCCGGTGGCTACTTTTGCTTCAGAGTTAAAATGATGGCACAAGCTTGTGTTTGAGGGGGAAAAAACAGTGATTAACTTAGCATGTAGTTTGGCTCAGAATGTGACCAAGAAATAGTACTAAGCTGTCACTGGAAGCTGGGGACGGGAAATACATGCTGTTATTAACTGTTTGTAATATGGGTAAATATACTTGTGGCCAAGTTTCACCATCTGGGAAGGTTCTCATGGCTTTGTAATATGATCTTACTTTTTTTGAAGACCAAATAACAGAGAGGTAGGTTACCTGGTAGCTGTTTCCACATAACAATTGAGATATGACTTCTCTGTAAAATGATCCTTCAAGAGGATAAAATTCAAAGAAAAGCCCACCATCTTTTCTAAAAGGCTCATATTGCTTCTTGTTCCCCGGCCTTGGTTTTCTGTCAATGAGAATATGGGTGGGGTATAGTAGTATAAATAACACTATGTAACATAATTTGGAAATGTTCCTGCTCCTGGTCTGAAAGTGTTATTTCCAGTATGATTGTGTGGTGCTTACCTTGAAAGTAGCTGTTATACTCCAAAACCATCATTTTTGTGGCTGCCACAAACTATGTTGAATTGGTTGAGATATCTATTGAAAAATTATAGCAAAATGTGCTGCAGAATGTCCCATAAAAACAAAGTTGTTGTAGTTTTCCCATGTTTTTATGATATAACCAATTAGGAAATGACATGTATAACCCAAGGACAAAAATCATTTTACATAGTGTAATCTGGGTGAAGGGTCAAAAGTAACAGAACATTACTAGTCAGTGAATTTCACACGGGTACTACATTGGCATCAACTTGAAAGCACGCACAACAGCAGCAGCATCTCTCATGACACTTGTTGATTAGTTAAAGAATGCGCATACATACACACACACACACACACACACATATATATATATATATATATTCAGTCTGTTAGTATGCATACTTGAAGAGTTTGTTTATTCCTTGTCTTTGACTGAGCGGAAAATTTCCCCCACTTCTGATACTAGTGACTACAAGCCCACGTCAAGTGAAGCAGATTCTTTCCACGAAAGTCCTGTAAGAACTCGTCGACATTCATGGAGACAGCAGATATTTCTAAGAGTAGCAACACCACAAAAAGGATGTGATTCTACCAGCTGGCATGATGGTAAAGACTAATTTTATATACTAAAGAAATGTCCTAACCTCTGTTGTGCATGAAATACTGGTATAGCTTTTAGTTTTACTGCTCAGATGAGTGGCAAAATCTTGTGCTTATAGAAGATATATATGTAGTTACTATGCATCAATCCTGCTTATTCTTTTGTCATGATGGAGGTGGCTGCTTTTCATTGTCAGCAGTGTTTCACACCTGTTGGTATCAGCACTTTCTCCCATCTTTTATGTAATACTAGCTTGGGTATCCAGCATTGCTCAAGTTATTTGAAGAATTTTTTTAAAAAAATTATGAATTGTTACATTAAGAACATGCATAAGGTTGTAGGTGAACTACAGCTCGCATCATGGCAGGTTAACCCCCTCAAATGCCATCAGCATTTAAAGATGGTCATGTTGGGCATGTGTGGCAAGTTTGCTCCAGATGCATTCTCAGTGGGGTTCAGTGTGCTCTCTGGCTGCAGGATGAACTGCAACTCCCACCATGGTGGGTCAGTCCCCTCAAACCTCTCCAGTAGGTTTGGTTGGTCATGGGGGTTCTGTGTGCCAAGTTTGGTTCCAGTCTTATTGTCAGTGAGGGTCACAGTGTCTCCAGATGTAGGTGAACAACAACTTTCAGAAATCCCACCATGGTGGGTCAGTCCCCTCAAACCCCTCCAGTAGATTCAGTTGATCGTGGGGGTTTTGTGTGCCAAGTTTGGCCCCAGTCTATTGTCAGTAAGGGTCACAGTGTCTCCAGATGTAGGAGAATTACAACTCCCAGAAATCCTACCATGGTGGGTTAGTCATCTCAAACCCCTTCAGTAGATTCAGTTGGTCGTGGGGGTTCTGTGTGCCAAGTTTGGCCCCAGTCTATTGTCAGTAAGGGTCACCATGTCTCTGGATGTAGGTGAACTGCAACTCCCAGAAATCCCACCATAGTGGGTCGGTACCCTCAAACCCCTCCAGTAGGTTCAGTTGGTCGTGGAGGTTCTGTGTTCCAAGTTTGGTCCCAGTCTATTGTCAGTGAGGATCACAGTGTCTCCAATTTTAAGTGAACTACAAGTCCTAGAAATCAAGGTCAGTTCCTTCCAAACCCCTTCAGTATATTCAGTTGATCATTGTGGTTCTGTGTGCTAAGTTTGGGCTAGGTCCATTGTTGATGCGGGTCACCGTTTATCTGGATGTAGGTGAACTACAACCGGGGACTCCTATGAAATCATGGTGACAGCTCCATAAACACAGCAACTTTAGTTGTAGTAGCACAGAAAAAGACAAAAACATGTCAGTGTTTATAAAAAAGAGGGTCAGAATAAAATTACCACATTGCCTCTGCAGTACAACTGGAAAAAATGGCTTCAAAACTGAAGAGTGTATTGGAGTACCTTCCCATGAGTAAAGGCTAAAGCATTTAGCAGTTTCAGTTAAGAATAAAAAGCCTGGAGTAGAGGATGGAAATCGCCTGGTATTTCAATCAAAGTATGAATCGCCTTGCAGAGTTTCATACAAGCATTTGGCAAAGCTTGCAGTAACTCTCTCCAACAAAGAAAATTATCGAAGATTTTCCCCCATAACAAAAAGCTATGTTTGTTAAAAAGAGAGAGTAAAAAGTTTTCAAACAATTTTATAAATCTCATTTTACTAGTTTCACTTGAGGCACGCATTGCCATCAGCAGCAGAAGTCACCATTACCAGGCACCACTTGCTGTAAATAATCTGAGTTGTATTACTGGGTTGCTGTGCATTTTCCAGGCCGTATGACCATGTTCCAGAAGCATCCTATCAGACTGTTTTAATGTCAGTAGGCATATATGGTTAAGAAATACAACTCAATGTGTTGTTGAATGCTTTCGTGGCCAGAATCACTGTGAGTTTACCGGGCTGTATGGCCATGTTTCAGAAGCATTCTCTCCTGACATTTCACCCACATCTATGGCAGGCATCCTCAGAGGTTGTGAGGTCAGTTGGAAACCAGGCAAGTGAGGTTTATATATCTGTGGAATGTCCCGGGTGGGAGAAAGCACTCTTGTCTGTTGGAGGCAAGTGTGAACAAAATCTGGCTATCAGTATTTTAAAAAATTCTAAAACCAGGAAAGTAAAGAAAGAGCAATACTCAAAAAGCAAGGGGATTCCAGACAGGAAACAATCGGGGCCAGGTAACAGCTCCCCAGGGAGGAAGCAGCAAAGCTTTGAAGCTGCAAGGCTACTCCATGCTAATCAAGGTGGCCAATTGTAACATTCACACTTCCTTCCAACAGACAAAAGTTCTTTCTCCCATTCTGGACATTCTACAGATATATAAACCTCACTTGCTTAGTTTTTTGCGGATGCCTGCCATAGATGTGGGTGAAACGTCAGGAGTGAATGCTACTGGAACATGGCCATACAGACCAGAAAACTCACAGCAACCCAGTGATTCTAGCCATGAAAGCTTTTAGCTACACCTTGAGTTGTATTACTTAACCAGCTACCAGTACTGACATTAAAACAGTCTGATAGTTTATGACTTTCCAGATATTTTGGAAAATAACTCCCATCAACCCTAGCCACCGTAGTCAATTTTTATGGTATAATGGGATTTGGAGAATGAACGACATATACAATCCAGCAAATTTCCCGCTCCTTCACTACAATTTCACAGCCTGAAAGAAAATGAGAGTCACTCTTCAATCTGAACTGCTTTTTCAGTTTTTATCTTGTACTTTAGGTGGCACTGTTTCTCTTGCTTGGAATTCTAGAAGCCTGAAGTTGTTTAAATTGATATACTTGTGGGGTATTTAGGTCAAATGTCACACATTTGGTACTTTTTCCAGTGCAAGATTTTTAGGGGTTTTTTTCTTTCAGGCTGTGAAATTGTAAAATGCTGTTTGCATTGAGAAATTTAGATACACAAGATCTTGTTGTTTAACTTACGTGTTTGTTTCAGAGATCCAAAATCAGATGTAGTTCTGATTTTGGAGAGTTCATTTTGGAGTGAATTTTTGGAGTTAACTGATTTTGGAGAATTATGGAGGGGTTGTATGGATAGGGGCTGCCACAGAGAGAAATTACCAAAAAATGCCTGTGCACATGGTTAGAATGCATTATAATAATAATAATAAAATTAAATTAATTAAATTAATCTTTAAAATAATGAAAGTAATTTTAGTAAGTTGTTGACGGACAACTATTTTAAACACTATGTAGTTCAGTGCAGAGCGTAGAAGGTAAGAACATCAGAATTAGGTTACTGTGAGTTTTCTGGGCTGTATTGCCATGTTCCAGAAGCATTCTCTCCTGATGTTTCGCCCACATCTATGGCAGGCATCCTAAGAGGTTGTGAGGTCTGTTGGAAACCAAGCAAGTGGGGCTTATATATCTGTGGAATGTCCAGGTTGGGAAAAGGAACTCTTGTCTGTTTGAAGCAAGTATGAATGTTGCAGTTGGCAATCTTGAAAACGGGAATTCCAGACAGGAAACAATCAGGACCAGCTAACACCTTCCAACAAAGGATCCCCTCAAGCAAGAAGCAGCTAGGCTTTGAAGCTGCAAGGCCATTCAATGCTAATCAAGGTGGCCGATTGCAACATTCAAACTTACCTCAAGCAGAAAAGAGTTCTTTCTCCCATCTTGGACATTCCACAGATATATAAACCTCACTTGCCTAGTTTCTAACAGACCTAACAACCTCTGAGGATGCCTGCCATAAATGTGGGTGAAACGTCAGGAGAGCATGCTTCTGGAACATGGCCATATAGCCCGGAAAACACAGCAACCCAGTGATTCCAGCCATGAAAGCCTTCAACAATACATGGAACATCGGAATTTCTTACTGTGTTTGAAAGTCAATACCTAAATATCTATTTATATTTTTTTAAAGTTCTATTTCATACAAGCAGATACTTATTTTATATTGCAGAATCTGTCTGTAGAAAGCTTCCACTCTTTGAAACTTTCTGATACCCACATCTGTTTTCAAATATTTGTGGGGTGGGGGAATTCCAGTGAAAGTAGTTCATGCAGTAATTTACAAAGAGGGAATCCCTCCAGAATTCCCAGTGTTAGTCATAATTGCATCTGTTAGATGCATCTCATGCAGACTTTCAGCATTAACTTGGAAGATTGGGGTGTGATGTATCCCCAGTATCAGCTGTGGGGAATCTGTATGCCAGTCTGTATAATTCTGCAAGTTCAATAACAAGATAGCAGATAAGACTTGGCTGTATTCATTTTTAGAAGTAAAAAGGTAAGAAGTGATATACTTTAGAACAAGAAGGGTAAGCATTTCATCACAACAGAATTTGACTTCAGGGCTTTTTATCGCTTGAGAAAATACATAATAATTTTTAAAGAAAAAAATGAAGACTTTTCTGATTCAAAGTCAAAAACTACACCACTTGCTCTGTGGACATGAGAAGGGTTGTGTCCATCCCATTCCTCCAGTATCCTGACGGCAAACCACTTTTGAAACCAATAAAACAGTTTTATTAAAAAATCATCTGGGTTTTTAAACTTTAAAAAAATGCGATTGAATATGCCTGAAACATCAAATACCTCAATATGCCAAAGAATCAAATGACACACTTGCTTTCTATGTCCCTGGTAGTGCAATGGGTAAACATTGTGCTGGCAGGACTGAAGACCGACAGGTCGGAGGCTCTAATCCAGGGAGAGTGCGGATGAGCTCCCTCTGTTGGCTACAGCTCCCCATGCATGACATGAGAGAAGCTTCCCATAAGGATGGTAAAATAACAAACATCTGGGTGTTCGCTGGGCAACGTTCTACAGACAGCCATTTCTCTTACACCAGAAGAGACTTGCAGTTTCTCACTCCTGACATGGAAAAAAATCTCCCTCAAAAAACATCCCATTGATTCATTCATGGATTTGAATCTAGATCAGTGGTTCTCAACCTGGGGTCCCCAGATGCTTTTGGCCTTCAACTCCCAGAAATCCTAACAGCTGGTAAACTGGCTGGGATTTCTTGGAATTGCAGACCAAAAACATCTGGGGACCCCAAGTTGAGAACCACTGATCTAGATCTTCAAATGGATTATTTCTGCAAAATCATTGAGATGGAGGAGGACTATAACTATTATCTAATCTTTACAGTGTAGGCTTTGCATGCAGAAAATCCCAGGTTGAAACCTTAGCATCTTCCATACTAAGTGTTGGAGCTCAGCCTGTGATTGTGTTTAAGGACCAGTGTGCTTTAGATATGGGGAGTGATGACAATGAGTTTCAAGAAGGTAATGGTCTGGTCAATGATATTGATGCAGAGAATGACCAGGAGATTCCTGTTCAAAGTGTAGTTTCTCATAAGAATGTCCCTGAAGGGTGTGGGGATGATGGTGTGCTCCCCGAATTGCTACCAGAGAATTCCCATGATTTGGAGCTTGAGAACAGCTCAGCACCTGGCCCAGCTGCAGAAATTAATGAGCAAATAGGTAAATGGGAGGTGATTAGTCAAAACAGAAGAGTGGAGCAGTGGCTTCGGCATTCTGCCAGGCTCAGAGAAAGAAAGATAAGAGATTAAAAGCTAAAGCAAAACCAATTTCTGAACGCTGGGGACATAGCTAACAAGGAGATAAAAGTCCCAAGTACAGGATCTGTAGTCAGATGAAGCATCATTTGGAATCAAGTCATGATCTCATTCCTGATTCTTGGAAGCTTTGCTTGTAAAAGATTAATGTTTAAAGTGCCTTCGTTTCATGGTTTTGATTCTTGGATTCTATGATTTTGTATTTACTTGCCTTGGATTCATGTTTTCTGGTTTCTTGGATTTTGTTATGGAAGTTTCTGCCTTGGTTTTTCATGAACTTTGATGACTAATTCCCTGAACTATTTTGTTCCGGCTTATCTTCCTACCTAATTGGATTTACCTATTCCTTTAAAGTACTTTTTACTTTAGTTCTTTTTAATTATCTTCAATAAACAAATTGCATTTCTACTCAACTGTGTGGTGTTTAAAGTCAGAGGGCTTTTCCTGGTCTGTAGTGCAACACTAAGGACTGAAGAGCAGGTGATGGAAAATATTACCTAAAATCATGGTCCAGACAAAGAAAACCTCTGTATCTGCAAGTGAGGCATTCCTGGACATCTCATGGAAATGTAAAACTGCAAATAATAGTAAATCCTATTGAAATGGACAGCTTCTGACAGAATCAAATCATAGAAACATGTTGGAAGATTTAGAAAATTCCTAGAAAGAAGACTTTTCTAATATCTATGCCAATATCACATTACTGTTCTAAAATGGGTGCTCTCGCTTTCCTGTGGTGTGGCTGTCTCCTGCAGAATTCTGGGAAATGTAGTTTTGGAAAGCCAAGGTATTCTCTAGCTGATAATTCCCTTAACTACATTTCCCAGAATTCTGCAGAAGACGCTCACACAACGGCAAAGCAGAAATGTCTGCTTTCGAATGGAAGCATTCCATAGAATTGTACTGGAAGACCTAGAAAATGCCTAGAGAAAACATTTTTTCAGACATGGGTAAGTGAGAACACAAGTATCTGTTCCATGGATACAGAGAACATGTCATAAACTAAAAATGACTAAAACAAAGTAGTAGTATCTAGTCTAACTTGGTAAACGTCTGCTTTCTTTGTACTATGCACCTTAGGCTTCATGAACTCAGACGTCCTGTATGGAACGTGCTGGATAGCTTGACCTTTTTACAGAGTAGAGAGGTTTCTGGAATGGGTGTTATTTTTCCAGCAGGATTCTGTGTGTTTTCTGACATCACTTTGAAAACTTTGCAAAATGTTGACAAAGTTACCACAGAGGATTTTTTGTTTTTGTTTTTTTAAGCACTTCAAAATTAGTAGATTCAAGTTATGACTCTGGGAATCTAGTCCTATTAAACAAAAAGCTTCTCAGTTTAAACCCAAACTGAAGCTGCTTTTTGTGATCAGTATTGGATTCTGTGGCCTTCTCAGAATTGCAGAATATGCATATATGTACTTAGTATACAAATATAACTAGGAGTAGCTATGGAGTGCGAGTTTCTTATGTATCCACTGTGAAAAGAGAACTGTTCAAGTGCATATCCTTCTTATGGATTGAATTTTTTTTCTCTAGCTTTAAGCAAACAAAAAGAAATGGTTGAAAACTTGCAAACATTGTTAAGTCCGCCTGGGAAGACATTGTGCTTAAGTGTTACATAAATGCTTAAATGCTCCATAATATGAGGAAAGCTTCATCCTAACAGTGAGGTATTTGTGTGCAGTGCCTCATTGTGTCAGGAAAGTCACCATAAAGCGGCATTTTGCAGAGACATATAATAGCCTTAATGTGTTGATTGACACCATAGAAGTCACTTCATTTTCAGATTTTTTTTCTTCTCAACCTATTTGGGAAGCTGACACTTAAAATAAATTTATTCTGAAAGTTGAATTGTGATTGCACTTTAATCTCAACAACAACAACAACTTTATTTTTATACCCCACCACTATCTCCCGGAAGGGACTTGGGGCAGCTTACAAGCAGGACCAAAACATACAACAAAATTCCCCAACAAAAATAAAAAAGAAAACAGTTTTAAGCATAATAACATATCGCAGTCAATTGTAACACAATTAAAACAGCATTTAAATTATATCAAATCAACTAGGCAACCAGTGACCAGGAGTATAATAGACATGATCAAACTAGAGAGGGAGCGGGCTGGTCATGGATATGTGCAAAAAATAATAATTGTGTATGCATATGTAAGTGGTTTCTGAACGTTTCTTTCTTGTTTCATTACATAACGAAGACTATTCTGAATTGGGAGAACTTCCACCCAGGTCACCACTGCAACCACTTTGTGAAGATGGCCCCTTTAGGACAATCAAAGAAGAGAGGAAAAGGTCATCCAAAGAGCTCCGGGAACTATGGCAAAAAGCCATTTTACAGCAGATACTACTACTTAGGATGGAAAAGGAAAACCAGAAGTTGCAAGGCAAGTACAAAAACTTGATTGGGTAGAGAGTGAGGATCTTAGGCCTTTGGCTGTGGGAATAAGAGATAATATTTGCCTTGTGTTTATTCAGAATCCCCTGTCCTCAATAACTGTGATGTTTGCTTTCCCTCTCTTGCTGTACTTTACCCATGACTTGTTTACTTTATCTTAAGAGCCTCTTTGCTTGTTTTATCGATGGGGGCTCTCAGCCTAGTTCCTGGAAATGCTGATAAGGTACTTGAATTCTTTCTCCTTTGAAATGTGTCCTTGGTATCTTTGGATCCACCTGCTTCCGTTTAAAGTAATGGTCATCTTCGTATCTCTTAGCGTCCTATCCAGTCTTTCTCAATAATGTTCCTTGCATTTTAATCCAGTGATTTTAACTAGATTAATTGGTAGTAACTGCTTATTGCCTTATGAATATGAAACTCCACGAGAAACTTGTGCATCCAAAATGGTTTTTTTTTCTTTTGTATGAATGTGACAAGGACAAACTTAGAATTCATTTAAAAGATAGCATGGCAGATTGATGGAACAAGCAATCCTGGAGCTTCCCTTTCAAAAGTATCATTTCCCCATCTTTTGTAATTATTTATAGCCATGTTATCCTTCCTCTTTTCTGCTCTTCAGTATAATTTCTTCTTTTCTTCCACTTCACGGAGGAAACTTATTCAACCAGCCAAGACTATGAAAGGAAGAAAATGATGTCATATGTATTTGTTGGCCATCAAAATAGACTACATCAGAGTTTCCCAAACTGTGCTCCTCCAGATGTTTTGGACTTCAGCTCCCACAGTTCCTAGCAGCTGGTAAGCTGGCTGGGATTTCTGGGAGCTGAAGTCCAAAACACCTGGAGGAGCAGAGTTTGAGAAACATGGGGCTACCTACATAATGTCACAATTATGTGGAGAAGGACTAACAAGATAATAAACCTTCTGGAAACAAAGCCCAGTGAGGAATGGCATAGACAGCAGAGTGAGGAGAAGATTGAGAGGTAATATGTATGTTGACATTATTGTAGTTGTGTGCCTTCAAGTTGCTTCAAGCTAATAGTGACCCTAAGACAAGCCTGTAATATACCTAATAGGGTTTTCTTGACATAGTTTGTTGAGAGAGGTTTTTGCCATTGTCTTCCTCCGAGATTGAAAGAGCATTGCTCGCTCAACATCACTCAGTGGGTTTCCGTTACCAAACTGGAATTTGAACCCCGTTCTCCAGAGTCTAGCACTCAAACAGCTACACCACATTGCTCTCATATTAGTCATCTTCAAACATATGAAAACAGGATTCAGGTGATGATAGTCTTACCAAATAGGTGGATCTCTTTATGTTCTCTTGCTGTTCTATTACACTGCTGCATAGTACAGGAAAAGATGGCATGTTCCTCAGGCAATATGGGGGTCAGTCTGTGATGTGTTGCAATGTTACAGTGCATAATCACCATCCAATTTTGTTTCTTGCCTCTCTTCATGGATTGAGGTGGTGTACATAGATAAAATATGTAGGTGAAACAAAGAACTGTAAAAATACACATATTAAAAACAAAGAAAAAAAGAAAAAACACCAGTATTAATAAATTGTAAATTTAAAGGCATTATTTAAAATTGGATAGGCCTCCTGAAAGATATATTTAATTATGTTTTAAATAGCTTATTTAACTGTTGAATCTCTTCCTGTCATTCCACAGTCTAAAGGCAAGCAATGAAAAGACTCAAACCCTCCCCCTCTGGGAGGCATTGAGAAGGGAGGGGTAGAAATATCTGAAATAAATAAATAGTAATTAATGAAACTAGAGTAACAAATAGGTTGTCCACTGAAGTGTACAAAAAACCTATGAAGAATGTTGGGGACAAAAATAATTAATAGAATGAACAAACAAAATCTTTTAAAAATAGTATGGTAAACTGGCATATTGAAGAACTGTAGTATGGATTCTCCCCATATGTAGTACTGTGGCATGTCATACGCCCCCAAAGTAACATAAGGAGTCCTAAATATTTTAGGTAAGACATTTTAAAAGCTATACTGACCTTGTGAATTTTGCTTTTACCCCCAAATTGTCATAACTGAAAACCAGAAGACATCTTGGGCAATCAAACTCTTGCTCTTGTATGCTTTTGGCAGAACTTCCATAAACTAGCATCATTTGGAGGACTAAGCTTAATAGAAGAATTCACTTTCCTTTATAATTTCTCATCCCTGTAATAAATGGGAATGCTGTTTTGATGATACATGATCCTATTAAATCATCAACATGGCAATGTTCTTATGATATACTAGAAGCTCATGACAGTGGGCTAGTAATATATGATTACAGCAAAGGCTTGTGGTCCATATATCAAAGTAAACATATGATATTATGTGTTCATTTTAAATAAGATTATAAGTTAAAGTCTGAACAATTGTTTTAATGCTGAGTTTGAAGAAAAAAATAAACTTTTTTGTCTTCTTTACATCTCCTTTTTCCTTGGTTCTGGTGTTCTCATACTCTCGGTAAAGTTTCCCTTGCAGTGTAGCAATTCTCCATATTTTTTCATCTCCAAAGATGGAATCATTTCTGTCCTTGGAGTTAATTTACCTTCAGCATAGCTACCCACTTGAGCATCTCCTTCCTAAGCTGGCAGGCTTTTGCAAATAATGTTTATTTTTTATTCCTTCATCTGAAAATCTTTCCCATAATACTTTCTCGGGAACACTGAAAAATATAGTCAACTGCCAACAAGGCTCCATCCCAGTCCATTTTCTGGATGAACAGTTTTCAGCTCTTGGTAACACCCTATATCATAACTGTTGTTGTTTATTCGTTCAGTCAATTCCGACTCTTCGTGACCTCATGGCCCTGTCGGCCATCACCACCCCCCAACTCCTTCAGAGTCAAGCCAGTCACTTCAAGGATACCATCCATCCATCTTGCCCTTGGTCAGCCTCTCTTCCTTTTTCCTTCCTTTTTCCCAAGCATCATTGTCTTCTCTATGCTTTCCTGCCTCTCATTATGTGGCCAAAGTACTTCATCTTTGCCTCTAATATCATAGCTGTATTATTTTCTATATATATACATGGGAGATGATGAATATAAGATGAATACTTTTAGTGCAAGTAAGGACAAGCCCTATAATGCCATCTTTTGAAATGCCCAAAGTGAGGCATTCCTGTGAGATAGGAATGTTGAATGCCAATCAGTCATGTCATGTTCTGTATTATTTTCTTACTTTTTCAAAGCTGCTGAAACATGTTTGTCCTTTTTTATTGTCATGGTTCATTGGGCTGATGTTTTCAGTAGGTATGTTAAGTAACTGCCTTAAGAGTAGTTTCTCATCAAATAAGTGTAATGTGTGTCTTAATTTGTAGCTTCTGAAAACAATCTCTTAAACAAACGTTTGAAGCTCGACTATGAGGAAATCACCCCATGCCTCAAAGAAGTAACTTTGATTTGGGAAAAAATGTTAGGGACACCAGGAAGATCAAAAATGAAGTTTGACATAGACAAAATACATTCTGCTGTTGGGAAAGGTGAGTATGTTTATATAATTATTACGGGATACAAATGCATAAACATCTCTTCGTAAAGTGAGCTATGAAAATATATATTGAAATAATAGGGGATAATTGATTGTCAATAAGACCTTTTATCTTTGGTCATATACAGTTGCTTGAGATGTACATAGTATGTTAGTGGAATAGACCTTAAAGGTATGAAAGTTTTAATGGAAAAGGTATGGAAGAGTTAAATCCATTCACAAAGGATTATAACAGAGATGGTAAAGTAGCTGAGAAACTAACTGATTGATGGAATGTATACCCTGCCTTTTCCCAGGATGGGATCCAAGGCAGCTTACAGGAATTTAAAACAAGCTTAATTTTTATTTTTCAAAAATTAAAAAAGAAATGGCAACAATATTTTTAAAACCTGATTAAATCAGGGAGCAACACATTTAAAACATGTTAACTACCATCTATACTTGTGTATAAGTTAAGGTTATCCATAAACCGAGGGCAGGTTTTGGGCCCAAAATTACGGATTTTTATATGACCCTTGGAAAAGTCAAGAATCATTCATCCCTAGCTTCTATAAGCAACATTTTCCCACACGGGAATTCATAAAAATCTTTGACACTCTACACAGAGAAAAACCATATTCGTACGTGTTAACTACATTTTTTTCTAGAAAATCTACATGAATCAGCAGTTAATGGTTTGTGAGCTGTTCCTGGTCCAGGAACCACCATTTTTCCTAGGAATGGTTTACATTTTCTGTTAAGGGATATTCAATCCCAAATATCCTAGATTTGTTGAAGGAGGAGGTTTTGCTAGTCTTCCAATCCTCACCCTGCCTGGAACTTTATGCCATCCCTCCAAAGTCCTGTCCTATGAAGCCCTGTCATAGGTTTCAACAAAGGTTGAAATTTGGCTTTAGTAATTTATTCACTGATTCCTGGATAATGCTGCTTGAAACATTTGTGTGCACACTGCCAAAGGGTCTGAAGTGTATTTCCGCCTCCATTCCATTCTATTTCATCTTGTTATTCATATAATTTTCAAAGGAGTCCCTAAGCATCACCGAGGTGAGATCTGGAAGTTTTTGGCAGAACAACACCAGCTTAACCACCAGTTTACCAGCAAACAACAACCAAAGGATACACCTTATAAAGAACTCTTAAAACAGTTAACCTCCCAGCAGCATGCAATACTTATTGACCTAGGTAAGGGTTTCTTTTCTCAGTAAAATGATACTTTATGTTCTGCAGAAGTCCAGCCTGAAAATTAGTTTTCTTCTAAAATTGTTAGTCTGTTGCAGTCTATGTGTGTTGATGAATTACCTTGATTGGGAACGATTTTGAGTTGTTCAGATTCTGTATAATATATGATGAATAATATGGTGTATTTAATGTTTGAGGTTGTTTTCTTTCTTGATTTAAGTCAGTGGTTCCCAACCAGTCATCTGGTCCGCAAGAATAAAAATATGGTCCGTGAAACATTAAAATTTTTTAAACCTTTATTCATTTTAATGAATCTGTTGCTATGTGGGCAGCACCAGTGAGTAGGATGTCAGGCAAGCACAGGAGACTGTGAGGAGGGCAAGCGATTGATGTCATGTGTCATGTACTCATGCCACCCAGGATCAGTCAGTTGCACACATTCTTTTGTCTTGCTTGGCTGTGTCAGTTATTCTGTTTTGCTGTTTACTGATTCGATGGCTTCACTAGTTTTATTGACAGTGAGTCCTCAATATTCGTATTAATTTTTGACTTATTTAATGATGATTGAAATTGGAGAGGTTGCAGAAGAAATCCAGGGAGAGCTCATTGAATTTCAAAGTGATAGAAACTGCAAGGACATGTTTGAATCTGGTTCTCTTGAGGAGTTTTGGTGTAAAAAAGCAATTTTATACTATAATTTGAAGAATCGCCTTGCACTATCTTATGCTCTTCTCCACAACTTATATATGCAAACAAGGGCTTTCTGCTTTGGTGGTAATTAAAAACAAGTCCAGGAATCAGTTTGAAGTAAGTGATGATATGCGTGCAGCTTTGAGCAATACTATTAGTCTCAGAATTACCCAACTTATAAAGAAGATGCAAGCTCAAAAATCACATTGATGCATGTTAAACATGTTATTTTTATATTATAATAGTACTCTTAATTCATGTTACTATCAAGTTTAACGAATAAGTTAAAAGGTTTGAAGCAACTTTCAAAACTGAATCTGTACAGCTGACATGCATGTGAAATTTAAGACCCATCACAAGAAATTGCAGCCTTCCTGATATTTGAATTCTTATTCCTCGACATTTGGCTGAGTGGTAATGTCCAGAAATGCCTGAGTCTTGTCATCAGATTTAAAAAAAACTTCTTTCATCCTCCTGATTACACCTTTTGCCTTCTGGAACTCCACTACCATAACCAATCCTCATTAGTTTATGCTTTCAGAGTAACTTTTTGCTGCGTGGAACTGTCTGCCAAACAGGAGACACTGAATAGGCCTTTTCAGCATGTGTTGGAACAACTCCTACTTTGGGCAGGAAGGTAATTTGCACAGCAATACAAACTCCTCTTGCAGTTAGTAAGCAGAGCACACTATATCTATAGTAGGACTCAGTTTCCTGCCAGTCTAGAAAGTGTGCAACCAGCAGCCAGAAATCAGACACAGCCTTGCTTTGTAGTACACACAGTGCATAAAACAATAATCTATATGCAGGAAGACTTCTTGTTTCAGGCTTTGTCCTCTTCAAGTAAGACATCTGATAGTATCACACAAAGCAGCACATTGACTCTAGACGCAACAATTGAGAAATTAAAGGGTGGGGTGAGCTTTAACAGGTAGAAAACTGCAACAAAATCAGAATGGCTCCTTTGTTGCCCTCCTTCAAAAAGCGATTAAAAACCTTTCTATTCACCCAAGCATATAGAGAGGAAAATGGTTAAACTTCGGCCTAAGAACAAGGAATGATATATATGGGCATGGCTTTAAACTCTTTTTGTATTGTTTAATGTGTAATTGTGTTTTATTGTTTTATTATATTTTATTTATATTATTGAGTGCTATACTATGTTTTATTAATTCATGTATGCACTGTGGTGGCATTGAATGTTTGCCTTTCCATGTTTGTTAGCCATCCTGAGTCCCCACAGGGAGATGTGGCAGAATATATATATTCTTTATATATATATAAGAATATATATAATTTATTATTATTATTATTATTATTATTATTATTATCTTCATCATCATCATCATCATCATCATCATTACAATTCTTCAGAAATAGGAAAGCAGAAGTAAACCTTTCTTGCATATTGTTAAGTTTTAGAGGAGAAGAACTTGTTCTTTTTCTGCTCACAGAGGCTGCTTCCAGAATGGTAAAAATTGTTCCTAAAATATATGCAGTTATTGTATAACTTTAGCATAATTTATGACATTAGGAATCTCAGCAACAGATAAGGACCATTTTGTTATCCAGATGTTGTTGTACATCATCTGCTTTTGTTTATATTGTTGTCCAAGTCATTATACCATCCTGAATGCAACTAATATCATGTGATTCCAGCAGCCAAGCAGTTTTTTTAGCTAATGCATGGGAAACCATCTAGGACAGTTGTTCTCAACCTGTGGGTCCCCAGATGTTTTGGCCTTCAGCTCCCAGAAATCCAAACAGCTGGTAAACTGGCTGGGATTTCTGAGAGTTGTAGGACAAAACACCTGGGGACCCACAGGTTGAGAACAACTGATCTAGGATCTTGTAATGGACAGGAGAAAATCCTATATGGAACCCTGGAAAGCTGCTTCTAGTCAAAGCTGAAAAAACTGGATTAGATTCGTATGATCCTGTCTTACACCATTTCTTTTTAAATTGTGGATCCTGACCCCAAATAAGGTCACCTTAGCTTATTGTTAGGATCACAAAAAGTTGCCATCAATAAAGCTTTTCTGAACATCTCCTAAAAGCTGTTTTAGATACTTAAATGAATCTGTTGTGCAGAGTTTACAGTAGAAGATGATTCAGCTGTACTCCACAAAAAGGAAATCAGCCTATTGAACATGCCTTGCAAATGCTGGTTTGTTATCAGTAAATTTTTGATTTTTATATCCCTTTTATATACCCAGGGTTAAGTAAAAAAAATTCAGGTCTAAAAGAGGTGAAAAGTGTCCAAATTTCCTTTCCTAACTTGCCACAGGCATTAGGCAAAAATTACCCAAATGTGCCCAACAGTTTCAATTATTCTGCCCCTTCCAAGACACACAGGTTGTGCTTTTGTGTGCTTTCAAGTTGAATCCAGCCCATAGCAACCCTACCCTAAGGGTTTCTTGGCAAGTTTTATTCAGATAAGATTTGCTGTCGCCTTCCTCTAAGGCAGGTCTCTAAAGGCCCCTTCTGCCTAAGAAGGCTGTAGCATTTTGTTTGTGTTATTTGTTTTTATTCTAGAGTGACTATATTGAGTTTAAATGGCACGATCAATTGTAACAAAGGATTTGTTTACAGGATTTGATTGTAATGGATTTCTAAATAAGACAGCACATTTATTTCTCTCTGCTTTGTTGATCAACATGGCACATTTGCGTTCTTTTATAACTGAATTGCTAACTTTATTTCTGTTTCCACAGGACGCACCTTTCCAACACATCCATATTTCTCTGCACAGCTTGGGGCTGGGCAACTGTCCCTGTACAACATCTTGAAGGCGTACTCCCTCCTGGATCAGGAAGTAGGCTATTGCCAGGGCCTTAGCTTTGTAGCAGGTGTGCTGTTGCTTCACATGAGTGAAGAAGAGGCTTTCAAGATGCTCAAGTTCCTTATGTTTGATATGGGCCTTAGGAAGCAGTATCGACCTGACATGACAATTTTACAGGTTGGAATGCCATCTTGTATTTAATTTAAATTTTTGTTATAGTGATATTAAAATACTGTTTCTTTTAGTTCAATTAATATTCACCTTATGATCATTAACAGGTTACCGTAGCTACTGCTCAATAGGGATTCATGAGGTTTTCCTCAAGGACAGTTAAAATTATCTGGTGGAATAATTCGTCTCACATTTATAAATAGGAAGAAAGGAAGAATTGGCCCAGACATGCTATGTCTCAATGTTGTTTTCCTTGTCTGGATGATACCAAACCTATACTAGTTTAACAACTACTATCCGATGCCTCACATTTCCCCTTTCACAACAGTAAGATTCAGTATACAAGAAATGTTAGACGGAGCTATATTTCGACACTGCCTTGTCATTTATGTGTCTCTTTTGTGTGGTTTTGCTGGTGTAACCGTTCAAACCGCAAAATTGTATTTAATTCAGAGTTCCTATTTCACATACATTTTATTAATTGATTTGTAATTTTTTTCTTCAAGATCCAAATGTATCAACTTTCTCGACTTCTTCATGATTACCACCGAGACCTCTACAATCACTTTGAAGCCCATGAAATTGGGCCCAGTTTATATGCCGCCCCCTGGTTTCTTACCATGTTTGCCTCTCAGTTTCCCCTGGGATTTGTGGCTAGAGTATTTGGTAAGTTGCTGTTGTTCTCCTAGTTAAATTGATATTGTGTTTGATATCGATTTGCCAATTGCCATCAAGAATATAGCTTGTTTCCAACTAAAGACATGTTCCTATCTTTCTATTGTGTGAAATTCTACTGAGTACAGCACACAGCTGTACTCAACTTATTTTCATAAAGACTGAAAATAGAAACAGATTACATTAAATACAATCAGACCCTTTATCTGTGTTGACTGAATTATCTTGCTGTTTTAACTAAATTCTCTTTAGTGACCCTTCAGCCACATTTAGGAGATATCTTGAGGAATAAACTAACTGAAGAACATCTGATTTTTTTCATCTTTAATAAGAAAAGCTGTCAGAGTACTTTTTGACATAGTATATAAAACTTACTAGTGTGATGTTTTGGCGGATTTCCCCCAATAAATCCTTTGAAAAAGAGCATTTTTTCCAAAAGAAAAACTGATAACAAAAAAAAAGTTGAATTTGCACAAAATACATTTTGGTGCAAACAGTTTTGAGTAGAGAGCACAGAAACCTCAAATAATAAACATGCTCAAACATGCTCAAACTCTCAAGTGGTAAGAATGTTGTTGTTGTTGTTGTTGTTGTTTCACCATTACAGATATAAGTGAAACAATTATCTTTCCTCATTCCAAACCATTTTTTTAAAAAATGTGATCATATTCTGACATATTCTGATAGTAGTTTAGATAAAATGGAATAAAATTATCTTCTATGTATTGTATAGTCAATGTACATAGATTTGAGAAACACAATTTGGATTTTAGGAAAGCTGTCTATCAGTTGGAATAATATTCTAGTTTATAATAATAATAATAATAATAATAATAATAATAACAACAACAACTTTATTTATAGACTGCCCTATCTCCCCAAGGGGACTCAGGGTGGTTTCCAACACATATGGGAAGCATTGAATGCCAACAAAAAAACATATTAACAATTACATCAAAACAAGATACATCAAACAATATAAAACAGCCTAACTGTAAACATCATTCTGAATAAGAATATACCAAAAAAATCAAACTAATACCTAGCAGACATAATTGCATCGTATAAATTTACACAAAATTAAACACTTAAAACAACTGGACCCATATTAAGAGGTAGGATGGTTTCCACCAACTGATAGGCTGAGATCAATTCCAGTAAAGACAGAATTTAATGTATCTAAATGATGATATATGTTGAGTCATATTAGTCGTCTTCTTCTCCATATGCCAGAGTGCATAGGTGTATTTTAGCAACTTTTAAAGGTGAGGAGAGAAGGGTCAGTTTTTAGTTATTTTTGGGAGAGAGTTCCAGAGGCAAGGAGTGATCACAGAAAAGCTCCCCTCTCTTGTTCCCACCAGCCATGCTTGAGACAAGGGTGGTACCAAGAACAGGACCTCCTCTGCTGATTGCAGTGCTCGAGCCGGTTTGTAAACAGACATATCATTCTACAAATAGTCTGGACCTGAACCATTTAGGGCTTTATAGGTAATGACCAGCACTTTGTATTTAGCCCGGAAGCAGATCTGCAGCCAGTGGAGCTGCCACAGCATGAGAGTTGTCCTTTCACAATATGATGCTCCAGTTAGTAACCTGGTTGCCGATCTCTGCACTAATTGCAGCTTCCAAACTATCTTCAAAGACAGCCCCACGTAGAGAGCATTGCAGTAGTCCATTTTGGAAGTAACCAAAGTGTGGGCTACCATGGCCAAGTCTGGCATCTCAAGATATGGTGCAGCTGGCACTCAATTTTTAACTGGGCAAAAGCAGTCCTAGCCACCGCCGACACCTGGGTTCCAGGGTCAGCAATGAATCCAGGATCACTCCCAGACTGCGAACTTGTGTCTTCAGGCTATAATCTCACACCCCAATCCACCTTCCAACTGACCAGTAGTACCTCTGTTTTGTCTGGATTTACCTGCATCTTATTAGCCCTCATCCAGTTTATAGGGCTGAATGCTTTGACTTATGTTTCATGTCTAACAAACATTTGGAGGAAGTCCTAATATCTCTTAATCTTTTGATCTGACACACTTTAGTATGAAATTGATGTTCCAAGTGCAAATGATTATAATTCAACATTTTCCCTCATAGTCATGCATAATAAAAATGTATGAGCTTTTGCTTTGCTCATCAATGTCTTGGTTGAATGTGAGTAAGCTAAAACATGTGTACTCTGTATATTATCCACGCTATATGTTTCTGAATATAGACTTGTTTTTAATTAAAACACATTTTGTTTTCCCCTTATTTCTTGAAGGAATGCATACTTTCTAAATATACATTTGAAAGAAACTGTGTTTATGAACTTAAAACATAAACAAGTAGACACATGAAGAACAGAGATTAGATAGGAAATAGGATTTTAAAAAAAAACAGCTTTGCAACAGTTCTATTTCTCATATAACTTTGTATAAAGAAGGTTCTCTCCTCCAAAAGATGAATTGCAGAAATAGCCACATTAATCACATTAGTTTCAGTGTTTGCCCACAGAAAACCCCTTAATACTATAAGCAGGCATGTATTAAGGTACATGCCTGCTTATAGTATAGAGAATTTTGACCCGAAATTCTCATGGTGGTTCACGAAAAGGCCTTACTGATGCATTATTTAAACTGTTATGTTTATTCATATCATGATCTGATCACCATACTCAATATATCCCATATGCATGGGGGTATTGGGGTAATGATACAAAAGGTTTGCTAGGGTAGACCCTCTTTCACTCAGACTCCGCCCCCCCCCCCCCCCGAAAAACCCCCCCCCCCCCCCCCCGAATCGAAATCCTGACTACGGGCCTGACTATAACTATTAAGGTATCATGAGATAATTTGCTGTTTTCACTGAAATACTGTTTCTTGAAGACAGGGTAGAAGCATTCCTCTCCAGACTAATAAATCAATAAACACAAAAACATTCTGTCATCCACCTATGAAGGGTTTGTTTTTTTACATCATCAAAATAAAATGTGTTTATATAAGCCTGACAGATATGCTGCATCTTAAGTACATATATGAATCCCCTGCTTTGTAGTAGTAATAGTTGCCATATATAATGGCTCTATATAGTGCTTTAACATTATATATTTTCTCAGTAACCCTGAAAAGTACATATATAGTGCCTTCTTGATAGATACTGGGTCCTAGAAGGAGACTTCTTAGTAGATATTCAGTGTTCATAAAAGCAGTCATAAAAAATTAAAAAGAAGAAATGCTCAGAGCCATTATTAGAATTAATTACTCTGTGCCTTTTCAGAGTCATTGGTAGAAATAGAGATGAACAAATAATGGTGGAACGAGTTCAAAGTTAAGTCAAGAACTGCACACAGGTCTCCCTACTGTATAGATCAGTATCTTGGCTGCTGTGCTACAGAGATTTCCCGGAAAGCCTGTATTTAAGATTATTAAATACTGAATTAAAAATGGTTTATGTTGGCAAGAGGACTGTGTTGCACACAAACACCATTATATGAGGGTCCTGTACGTTCTCTTATTTTCTCATTTGTAAAGGGAATTGGGAAAAACAGTGTTTGCTCTGTTCCAACATTGTACATAACTTGGTATTTGAGTAACACTGACATTCTTCTGGATATCTATACTGTACAGTTGTTGGCTCACCTCTGAGTTGCAGCAGGCTGTTGAACAAGATCTGTTCTTGAAACAATTGCTCTTCTGTTTCAGTGTTTAAAATGATAACAGTGTGGACCACACTCCAACATTAGTACCAAAAGGGTTACGAATCAGTTTATGGTGAACTTTAGATTCAGTTTTGTTATTTGGGGTGCTGATTTAGAAAATTGCATTGGATAGACCACATCAGCTCTACTTTCTGATACAAAACACATGTCATCCAGCAGTCGCCATCTGCTTACCCACAGAAAACCATATGTAATCATCTAGAGCTGATGTGGTAGTAGTAATCTTTCATGTGTAGTCAGCCTCTCCCCTCCTGACATCCCCGTTGCCTCGGCACTATAAGAGGGTTTTGCGAGACCAGTTGCTCTCGATGTCACATAGTTTCAAGGCAATTTACCTCCCTGCTACTTGCGGATACTAATTCAGCTACAACCTACAATGTCGCAAAGTTCTGTGCAGCAGCATACAAAATCCGCCAGGGAATGACTAGTTCCAAAAGTCAACTGTGTGTCCAGTAATCTTCTTCCCTGAATCTACAATTTGGTGATGGATCTGGGCATTGTATGTTTTTACCCTGTTTCCCCTTCTGCTCCCTCACCCATACTGTGTTTTTAGTAGTTGTATTTATATTTTTAATGTACCAAACATGCCAGGTTTGTATGGAAATGTGACACTATTTCCTGTGCTGGTCAATGACCGAAATAAATGTTTTGTTTTTGGTTTTTTTCAAGGCAATGGTGTAGTAATTATGGGTCTGCAGACCATATTTTCATTCTTGGGGACCACTGGTGGTCCACGGACCACAGGTTGGGAAGCATTGGCTTAGAGCTTCAGATCGCTAGTGCAATAAAGTAGGCAAGAGAGCTGTGCAGGCCGTTCATCAGACAGATGAAGCCTCAAGCTTTTAGCACATGCAAAGGAAAGTCAAAGCATCCTCCATAATAGCTCAGGTCAAAAAAAGAAAGTGAAGATTGTTTCTTCTACTCTTTGCTTTCACCCTGTTTCCCCAGTGCTTTAAAAGGTGGGGTGTTCTATGTTTGGAATTGGAAAGAGAAATGAAGACAAATGAGACAAAAGAAGCATTGGGCTTATTTCAGTTGCCACTATGGTGGGCAATTGGAATACATAACCCTGATGTTATGTAGAAGCAAAAAATGTTACAAACTTTACTTTGGCTTGAATTGATCTCCTGTCTTTCATATGTACTGCCCTTGGTTTCAGATGTACATTAGCTTCCCTTGGCTATTCTGTCAACCTTATTTTGCCTAGTTCTTGCATAATACAAATGTCTGGTATTCTCATAAGTTTTTACTCTCTTAAATTGATATATTGATGAAAAATGACATTTTTCATGCCTAAAAGTAGAAAGCTATATCAGAACCTTTCAATATTTTAGTACTCAAATGGTTAGAATGTCAGGCTTAAATGAACCAATTGTTGGTAAATAGTACCTATGATAGAGGTGGAAAGTTAAGATCAAATGTCTCAGGCAGATGAATGGCAGTTTTACCCATTGTTTCATTGAAATATCACCTACATTTTGGAGAGTTCATAGAACTGCTACATGATCTTGTGTACACTCTTTAGAGGTACACAATCTCATGTAGCACACTGGATCTCAGCCTGTGAGTCCCCAGGTGTTTTGGCCTACAACTCCCAGAAATCCCAGCCAGTTTACCAGCTGTTACGATTTCTGGGAGTTGAAGGCCAAAACATTTGGGGACCACTGATGTAGTGGTACATAAATTAATAACTTTATCCAGGTGTAACATTTTGTTATCAATCAGAAAGGTCAGCTAAAGTGGCCATTGTCAGAATGATTCTGCATAACTGCAGTGTTTCAGAGCCTCAAGTCTTATTTACACTGGCCCCAAATCCTGTACTCACCACGAATGAACCGCTGACATTATCTACCTTGCACAACAGCCTCTAGTAAGTTAAGGGTTGCCTTAAACTGACTTTGTTTCATTTTTGGCAAATTCAGGTGATTATCCAGAGTTTGCCGGAAATTTTAGAGTATCCCATGACTTCCAAGCAGTCTAGACTTTTTCGGTCTGATTTCACAGACATCCCATTTTGACATCCCCAGAGGTTCCTATGGTGGCCAAGAGCTCACATGGAGCAGCATGGCCAGCTAGCAGCAGCAGTTTTGACACAAAGAAGGTGACAACCTAGTAGGCCAGATGTGATCCTGAACCATCTGGACAATATTTGCAGATTTAGCATGAATCTGGATCTGCTTTAGGGCAGATTATACCGCATTAAACTGCCCCAATGTAGATAAGTCACCAGACTATCTTTTTTCCTCTTATATTGAAGCACCTGTCCCACTTTAGCCGTTCTTGAGAACTCACTTGGGACCAATGTGTTTCCCAGTGTCTTTGTAGATGTGTGGCTACGGCCCAACGAGATCCTTACTGAAAATAAGTAAGTGAAGGGCAGAAAAGGAGTTGGTTGAAAGGTTTCTTTAAACTCATCACATTGCCAGGCTGGCTTCCATTTACAATTCACACAGAACCGTTTGTATGCTTTGTAACCTTTCCTTGAACTCTTAGCTCTCCTTCAACTACCCTCTTCTCAGCTGACTATTTTTATCTGCTGAGGCTGTTTTTCCTTCCCCTGCACTCCAACCTTGCTTAACAACATTCCATTATATCTCATTGGATGGATCCCTCCCAACATTGCATTTAATTCTATTGGCTGAACTGGGAAAAGGGCATATTCCAGTCCTGTCAATCACAAAGCATTTGAATGTCCTTTTTGTGCACAGTAAGATTCCCAAAGTTAGAAAGCTTTTACAGTAGTGATCTCCAACCTTAGTCTTACCTATCTATCATCACTCATTGATAGAGAAACAACCAAATTATTTTTCATGCCTCTGAGAGCTGCAAAAACAAGGAGTTTCTCAAACACTGAGAACACCAGAATGTAACAGGTAGAAGTTCCTTCTAATGGGCGAAGGACCTCATCACACTTTAAATCCGGTTGCTGCCTCCTGCAGAATTCTGGGGTTTGTAGTTTAGGGCGGAGCCTTTAACAGCCTCCCTAAACTACAAACCCCAGAATACTGCAGGAGGCAGCAACCGGATTTAAAGTGGATTCATTCTCTAGTGTGTTGAAGATGTGAGCCTGACACTATAAAGCTCTTGAACTAAGAAATTAAGCTGTTAGAAAAGTGTTTTCGAAATAGTAACTAACATCTTACATCAGTACTTCTAGACAACAGACAGGTATAGTTATTTTTAAAAACTCTTTAAAATTCACAAAGCTTTGCAAAATATTACATGTAAAACAGTTGCACATATTTTCTTAATATTCATTGCACTATACAAAGTCTGTGCAATTTGTCGTGCATCATATATATCATTGCTCAAAAGCCACATGTTCTGGCCTGCCTCCTATTTCTACAGCCCCAGGCAACTGGCAAAACCACCAGATTCATAGTGTAGCAGGGAGTGTATGTCACCAAACATGACTGGTGAAGTTTATTGGGCCTTTAAAGATTTACCAGACACGGTTGGTGGGCAGCATTCAGCCTGATAAGCCACAACTTGTACCCTATAACTTTCATTTATATTTGTTCCATTTATAGCTGTTATTTTTGGAAAATTTGTTTTCGTGAGGTCAGGGTCACATTTCCAATTAGCACTCAGACTCTGAAAAGATTTAGTGATAGCTTAACAGTTAGACCACTGGAGAAATTAAATTCATTAAGATTAAAATATGCCTTGCATTAATGTTTACAAAGCAACTCCACTAATCTTAAAAATTAGGGAAAAACCAGTCTCTGGTGTCTGTAGTATGAGCGTGAACAAACTGACACTTAATCCAAACAAGACAGAGCTGGTCCTAGTGAGTCAACGCGCTGATGAGGAAATGGGGATTCAGTTTGTGCTTCATGAGGTTACTTGCCCCTGAAATCTCAGGTTAATATTGCTGGACAATAGAAGCTCAGGTCTCAGCAGCAGCTAGGAATATATTTGCAGGGTTCAAGTTAGTGCACCAATTGTGCCACTTCATGAAGATGTCAGATATTGTTATATTGATACATGCCTCAATTCCACCTCATTTGAATTATTCTACTATTCTTTATGGTGAACCAAGAATGCTCTGAGCTTTCTTAAGGCAGCAGGAATTATAAAGTTCTTCCAACAAGGGGAGAGGGCAGCCAATGATTTGCTGTGCAGAAGTGGTTACCCTTTGGAGCACCTTCCTGTCTGCCACTGTGCAGCTACTAAAACATGCACAGATGCAGTAGATTAGGACACTTTGTATAACACAGCAGTAGAAAGTCACTAGTAGATTCAGGGGATTCAGTTGGTGGTTCATTAGGAGTCTCAGGTAGTACAGTCTCTACTGAGCCCTCTTCACCAACACTGAAGATTCTCCTTCACAGTGACACCCAGGAACTTAAAACTGGTCACCATTTATGATCAAGGGCTGGATTTCAGGTCTGTTCTTCCTATAATCCACTATGAGATCCTTGGTCTTGTTGACGTTAAGAACCAAATTATTGTCCCTGCACCACAAGACCAACCGATCCACCTCATCCGATAGACAGACTCATCCCCATCAGAGATAAATCCCACCATGGTTGTATCATCTGCAAATTTGGTAATGGTATTGCTATTCTGGATGGGAGTACAGTCAAATGTGTATAGAGTGAAAAGCAGAGAACTCAACACACAGCCCTGTGGTGTCCCAGTGTTGAGAGTGAGAGCTGATGAAGTATGTTGACCTAATCTAACCCTCTGGGAACATCCAGACAAAAAGTCGATAATCCAGGAACAGATAGAATATGACAATCCAAGATCCATGAGCTTAGTCACTAGTCTATGTGGAATGATTGTATTGAACACAAAACTAAAGTCTGCAAAAAGCATCTTCACATAGTTTTCCCCATCATTCCAGGTGGGTCAGAGCAGTGTGGAGTGTGATGGCTATAGCATCCTCTGTCGATCTGTTGGCTCTATATGCAAACTGAGATGATATGCCTGAAGACCAGTTTTTCAAGGCACTTCATCATGATTGAAGTGAGTGCCACTGGTCTGTAGTCCTGAAAATTCCCAGTAGGGAACTTCTTTGATACCAGAACAATGATTGAGGCCTTCAAACAAGATGGAGGATAGACTGAGATAAAGATTGGTGAAAGATCTCAGTAAAAACACTGACCAATTGATCAGCACAGTCTTTAAGCACCCAACCAGAAATGCCATCCGGTCCAACAGACTTCCTAGAATTCACAACCCTCAAAACATGCCTTACCTCACGTTCCTCCATGGTGAGGTTGGAGCTGTAACTGGCACATGGCTGAATTCCAGCTACTTCTGGTGGGCTTACTTCAAAGTGGGCAAAAAAGTGATTCAACTCCTCTGCCAATGAGATGTCTTTCCCAGCAGAAATGTCACTGTTTGATTTATAGTTAGTAATTTGTTGAAGCCCCTGCCCCACCTGCCTTGCATTGTTACTGTGGAAATGATCCTCAGCCTTCCTCTTATACTCCATCACAGCCTTCTGGGTGCCTTTCTTGAGACTTGCTCTGGCAAGCTCATGCTAAAATAAAAACCAGTTAGCAGCCTTGCTATGTGGAACTCCCTCCCCAGTGAGAACTCCCTCCTGGCATTTAGGAAACAACCTAAAATGGCTTTTCAAGCAAGCATTCGGGGAGTGAGATGAAGTAGTTAAATTATAACCTTGGGATTGGTGCAATGTCTAATATTATATGTTTAATGTTTTTGTCTATGTCCAATGTTTTATAGTTTACTGTTTTTTAATCTATATTTATATGCTATTTTAGATATGTGATATATTTTACATTTTATGTGAGGCATTGAATTTTGCCATTTACTTTGCTGTGAAATGCTTTGAGTCCCCCAGGTGTGAGAAAAGCGGTAAATAAATAAATAAATACATCCTCCCACCCTGACCCTCTTCCTCCTTTTTTAATGGCTACCTCTTTGAATATTATCATATTTACACCTGTGTTTTTGTCCAAGGAGCTCAGGGCAGTATGTATGTAATCTTCCTATTTTATTCTTTTGGAAAGCCTTTGAACTAAGTTTATATTAGAAAGAACATAAAAAGCCAAAGCCATATGGTTGGCATTGAATGTTCATGGCCCAAGTACAACCGTTTGTCAAGTCAGACCCAATCAGTTTGTAGAACTGACCCACTGCAGCCAACATCTAGGAGAAAAATTAGGACACAAGTGAAATAGTATAATTATATATGATGTATACTTCCTTGATTTCTTATTTTTCTGTTTCTCCCCAATCTGTTTTTCAGACATACTGCTTCTCCAGGGATCGGAAGTGATATTTAAAGTGGCTTTAAGCCTGCTGGGAAGCCATAAGCCCTTGATTCTGCAGCATGAAAACCTGGAAACTATAGTTGACTTTATTAAATGTATTCTTCCAAACCTGGGCTTGGTACAGATGGAAAAGACTATTAATCAGGTATAAAACTGATTAGTGTTTGGGGACATGTAAAATTATGACCAGTTGGTTTTTCCCTTAGTTGAGCTGGTTTACCATAATTCAGCTATGGAGCTTTTTTATGCAGAGGCAAAGTATTTTTAGAAAGTGGCTTGTTCTAATGTAGCCTTTGTTTAACAATTTAATTGAATTTCCTACTGTGTTTTGCTAGTGAGTTTTGTTTGTTTGAACAATGGAAATGCTTTGGATGCTTGAGCAATGTATCCTGTGGATAGGAACCAACACTTTGAGAGTCTGGCCAAAAATTGCAACACAGCACTTCCTATAAACCAGAAATGGCATACCTTCATCAAAAAATTAAAAATCAATTCAAAAGCATTTGCTTTATTGCAAAATATTTATGGAAGATAAAAAATAATGGTAAATACATTGCAGACACTGCAGCCAGAAAGATATAATACAAATATAATGGGATCATTAGCACACATCAGCATGCAGAATTAATTCTTCCCATCATTTTGGCCTCTAACTTTCCAAGATCCAGCATAGCAAAGTGGTTTGAGTATTGGATTACTACTCTTTATAACTAAGGTTCAAATCCCCTTTTAGCCATGAAAGCCTGTTGCATGGCCTTGTACAAGTCATAGTGTCAGCCTCAGGGCCCTTCCAGACAAGCCCTCTATCCCAGGTTTTCTGTTTATCCCAGATTATCTGGCAGTGTCGACTCATATCATCCACTTTAAAGCAGAAAACCTGGGATCAGATCCTGGGATATAGGGCCCGTCTGGAAAGGCCCTTAGAGGATGCCAGTGGGAAACCTATGGTGCCAAGAAAACTCAATGATATGGTCACCATAAGTTGGAGTTGCCTTGAAGGCATGTAACTTCTCCAAAATCTATTTACAAGTTGTATTTGGATTCCATCTCATCTTTTAATTTTTTTCATCCTTCTGAGGTTAAAACTCCTTGCCTCAAGCTTTCTGGTAGGATGTACATTTTTGCTTGTTTTGTTCTCATGTGCAAGAGTGAAATACCCATTCAGCTCGGCAGGCTTATGAGACATTTGGGATATCTTTTTCAATCATTATTTTTTGTTTAAGGGGAGTTTTTTTTTTTGCAAAATTACATTTTGAGGGGGAAATGTGCATGCAAAATACATTTTATGCAAAATAATTTCCCCAATACTGTTGGTAAAAAGTCTCCTTTTTTTTATACACCTACCCAGCAGATTTCTCATGAAGATTGAGACAAAAATTGGAGTGTTTTTTACTTCACTGTTTTTTGTGAATTTGCCATTCAATGTTCCCCTTTTCTTTTTCTCCTTCAGTATTCCCCTTTTATAAGTAGAGTGAGAAAGCTGTGGCTCACTAGATGCCATTTTACTAAAAGGTCCCACCAGCCCAAGAAAACATGGCCAACACTAATGGGTTGTGCATCTGGAAGTTCACAGGCTCCTCACTACCTGAAATGTAGAACTTTAGTTCTATCGTTTAGGTAAGGTAGAAGATCAGTGTAACAGCACTGTCTTACTATATAGAAGGCACAGCTTGTTATCCTCTGTGATTCAGTGTAACATCGACATTTCAGATGATTCCCGCTACTCTAACCATTTTTCAAAAACCATTAGGATGTTAGCCATCAAATGTCCAGACCTACATTATCATAGTGCTCTTATTCCATTTAATAACTATGGCAACATTAGGAAATCTAAGGTTTGTCATTTAGTGAAGCCCAAAAGCTCTCTGGCTTAGTATTCCAAAGTTCGCCTAGGATTCCATATAATGTTGCCACAGTAATTAAAGGGGAATCGTGGTGTGACGGTGTAGTACCCTAACCCAGGTATCCTGAAATACACCTACATATTCTACTATGTAAAGTATTTACATTCTCTCTCATCCCTAGTTTCTGAGGCTGGATCTACACTGTCATATAATACAGTATCTCATCTCACATTAGTTGCTTCGGACCCGATTATATGAGTCTACAGTGCCATATAATTAATGACACAGCTCTGCACTTTCATCCRATGSCCTTGCCTTGTTTACAGTTTGATCAWGTCTTACAGTAATTGTCACCATGGGTCATTGGGTGTTATTCTGAYTTTWAAAATGTTGTTTTWATATGCRATAGTTTTACTTTATTGTARTGTAGTGTGTGTTTATTTTATGCTTTGTRTCAGRATGTTGTGACATATGTAAGCCTCCCTGAGTCCCTTTGGGGAGATGGAGGRGGYGTACCAAAATAAAGTTGCTGTTGRTGTTGRTGTTGATAAAGTTGTTGTTGRTGRTGRTGCTGRTYRTYRTYRRATTATTATTATTATTATTATTATTATTATTATTATTATTATATAATTCAGTTGTCTGGGATCYGAAATGGCAGTGTAGATGGGCCTTAAGGCCATTGTAAAAAAAGTCTACAATTTTCTCCCTYTATTACCTGTAGTAACAAAATTGCCATTGCAATAGTCCCTTGCCGATCTTTATCAAATCAAAATTAAWCATGTTRAATAGAKTTTATATTTTGGAGAAAATAAAATTCAAAAGATGCAAGTAAAAAAAAAAGAAGTTTCCAATTTATGGTGATACTAACAAAAATGTAACATAGGATTTGTTCAGAGAAGATTAACTTTTGCCTTCCTTTGAGGCTGAGCAAATTTGATTTGCCCAAAGTCACCCAGTGGGTTTCCATGGCTGAACAGAGATTCAAATCCTGATCTTAAAAATCATAGTCCAGTGCTCAAACCATGATGCCAGGCTGGCTTTGGTATCTTATGGAGAATACCTAGATCCAATGACCAATCAGAATTAAAACAGGCTCAGTGAATCAGTTACTGAACGATGAGTAAGTTCTGTTGATCCAGTGGGCCTACTAGAATTAGATTAATACTCATGAGCCAACTTAGGATACATGAGAACAAGAGAAATGTAAAATGGTTTTCTGTATGTTTTTTTCTAACAAAACTGCCTTCTTTTACATACATACTAGGTATTTGAGATGGATATCTCTAAACAACTTCAGGCTTACGAAGTTGAATATCATGTACTTCAGGATGAACTGATAGATTCTTCTCTCAGTGACAATCAGAGGATTGATAAGTTAGAAAAAGGAAACAACAGTTTACGTCAACAAAATATTCGCCTCCTTGAAGACTTACAGGTAACAGTTGCACATTGTTGAATGTATATTAAATGTGATTAGCAAGCAGGCAGGTGCTATCTGCTCAGACACATTTACTTTCAATGGGATGTGACACATTTCTATGTTTGAAAAAATAGTGAAAAACAAAATAGCCATTGGATTTGTTATTATGTTAAAAACAGAACTCTTAATAAATACTTTGAATAATTAAAGGTTTATCATGCTGGATTATCTCCTGAAGAATCACTAAGTGTGTGTGTATGTGTCATCAAGTTGCCCACTGACTTGTGATGATCCCATGAATGTCATAAGTTTTATTAAGGCAAGGAATACTTAAGAGGTGGTTTTGCCAGCTCCTTTCTTTGAAATATAGCTGACAGCATCTGGTATAGAAGAGCAGTCTCCAATCCAAGTATTATCCACAGCTGAGCCTGCTTAGCTTCCAAGATCAAATGGGATCTTGTGCATTTATTTATTATTTATTTATTTACAGTATTTATATTCTGACCTTCTCACTCTGAAGGGGACTCAGAGCAGATCACAGAACATATATATGGCAAATATTCAATTCTGTTATACAATGACAAGACAGACAATTGTACATAGATGGAGATATACAGGCCTACCCATCTTCAGCATCTTGGAGGCTGTGCTCAGTTCCGGCCACCAGGGGCTCCTGTCGCTTCATTTTCCCTGCCGAAGAGCTTTGTTTGTAATCTTCCTCCTTGATCTAATCACCGGCATTTTTTTGGCATTTCATTATGGGTGCCTTAAATACCTCCCCGCTTTAAAGCAGTACCTATTAATCTGCTCACAATTGCTGATTTCAATCTGCTAGGTAGGCAGAAGCTGGACTGAAAGCCAGGAGCTCACCCCAAACCGGGCTTCGAACTGTCAACCTTTTGGTTGGCAACATTTTACTGCAGTGGGCAGTTAACCTGCTGTGCTAAAACCATGTATTCTGCTTCGAATCACACTATACTATTAAAGATTTCCTATATCAATTTAAATTCTGT